ATGCCAGGATCCCACAGATGGGCGAGATGGGAGAGATGCAGGATGGCACCTGGGAGGGAGTCCAGCTAAAGATATGTATGTGTGTGTGTGTGTGTGTGTGGGACCACGACATAAATTTAAATGATAATAGCGAAAACATACATTGCCAGATACTTTGTTGCTAATTGCGGTCGAGGACGACTTTGCTCTAATTGAAATACAACACGTAGTCCGGTAGAGTGTTCCCGGGGGGCGGGCGTTGCACTGGGGGAGACGGCTTCTGGGGACTCTGTCTTCTGGCAGGTGAACTTGTTTCTCTTTTGGCGCTCCGCTAACCAGACACCATTTATCATTACGAGCCCCGAGAACTGGGAAAACTAGATTCCACTGACCGACTACAGGCCACGGCTACCAGACTTTGCTGCTCGGCTGGGAGTCATCGTTGTCTTGTGGCAAGTGTGAGTGTGGTACGTTCCCTGTACTCCGTACTCCGTACTCCGTTCCCCATGTTCGATCGAGCTCTGAGATTTTTGCGAAAATTAATTTTAATTACCCAACGATGTTGTCGCCAAAAGCCGCAAGCAGCCCAGGCTGGCTGGGCTGGCTGGGCTGGCTGGGCTGTCTTGTCAGTTCCTCATGGACAGCTGATCAATAACAATTTTCGTGGCATTTCCGCTTCTAATTAAGTGCAGCAGCTTGGCCATGTCGCAGCAGCCAGCGAAAGATCATTCACATCTCAGTAGATCTCCATTGACAGAGTTCTGTAGTTATTTAGTAATTTAGTAATTGTGAAACCCCAAAATTAACATGGATCCATTCCAACAGAATTTAACAATATCCGAATCCGTTTCATTGGATTGCCATGAGGACACTCCCTCGGAGCTCTCCTTTGAGTCGACTTGCGAGAAGCTGCTGCAGGTGCGGAGTCGCCTGAATGTCATCTCGGAGCGCTCGCAGGTGCTGAACACCGGAGTGGAGTCTCTACGCCGTCTGCTGACCGCCCAGGCCCACAGGGATGGTAAATCTGCGTTGGAGCAACTGGAGGAGCTGCGCAAGCTACGGGTCTGCACAGACAGCCGCAAAGGATAGGAAGGCGGCAGTTTCAGGCCACATTTAAATAAATTATTGAAGATACAGCTGAATACAGATACCACGAACGAGTGTGGTTTTGGGGGGAGGGGGTGCTGAAGGCACGTGCCCTTGACCCTGGCATAATACCGAATGATACCACCAGGCACACGCCCTGAACAGTCTCGGGGTGTTCGTCATTGCGGAAGCACGCCTGGAGGGAGAAGATCAACATACCATAATCGTATTGTGTGTGTATATGTGGCAAGGTCTATTCATGCATCCGAATGAAAGGTAGCCATCTCCAGTGCAGGCGAGGCACAACCGCAAATGGCAAAATGGGTAAATGGGTGGAGAGGACAGGAGAGTAGACAGAAAAGAGAACTAAACACAAACTGAATGCAAAATTTGCAGCATGCGTCATTAGGCTGCCTGCCTGCTGGTGGGGCTGAAGGGGGGCCAGCGCAGTGGCAGTGCAAGTGGAAGTGGCATTGACGCTGCTGCTGCTGGGTGCTGGGTGCTGCTGGTGCTGCTGGTGCTGCCGTTTCGGCGCACGCTTCGCTGGTCAGTCATTAAGTGAGTCAGCGGGTTGGTTGAAGTGCTGACTGACCAGTTCGGGCGAGGCCCCAGACCTAAACCCAGACACAGACACCACCCTCCAGGCTCCATGTGTATGCGTGTGTGTGTTTGCGTGAGTGTGCGTGAGTGTATGTTAGCCTCTGGCGAGGGAAACTGCTGCTACGCCTACACAGACGACTCTTGGCCCATCGTTTAAAACAATTCCAGGGGAGCGCGCGGCAGAAGGGGGTAGGCACGGGCAGATGCACGCAAAATTGAGAGAGGAAAAAGGAGAGAGGGTTGTTGTTCATGCTAATCTGCCTATTCCTGTTCAACTCCCACAGCGAGCCTAGAGCTCCAGCCAAGGTGTGTCTGGATGAGGTGAGGCGTAACCAGAAAGTGTCACGACTGCTACTGTGGAAAAGGAGACGCAGAGAAGGCCACTGGGAAGAGCCACTCTATTTATGCTGCACATTGGCTGTAGCGCATCTGTCTGTCGCCTAGACCCCAACCCAACCCACCCACGCCCACACACTCTGTCTGTGGTTTCTCTTTTGGGGGGGAGGGGGCTAAGGTCTGGGCTGCTTGTTTCTGCTCTCTCGCTCTTGGCTCGGCATTCGGGTCGCTCGGATACTAGTCCACTCGTAAAATCCTTGAACGAGATCATCAATCTTGCTTTGTTGTACTCCCAGCGTAGCTCCCCCTCCCCATTGCCCCCGTTGCTGGCCCCCCCTCCCTTTTGCCTTTGTTTTTGCTCTTCTCTTTTTTGCTGTCGCGCCTTTTTTGTATGTCATTTGCCATGCCATGCCAAGCCACCCTTCCACCCGCATTCGGGCACGAGTATTCCCCGCTTTTTGTTCTTTACTTTATTTATGCCACCCAGCCTCTGCCCCCAACAAAACCCCCACCGCCCGCCAAGTAGTCAGAAGGACAGGCGGCAAGAGCCAGCGGCAAAAACTGCAATCACTTTTTGCTGTTGGGTTTTTGTCAGTTTTTGTGGGGATTTCACTTTTTTAGTCATTTCCATTTATTTTATTTGCAATTTAGAGCCGAGCCCCACCACCACGTCTCCTTGTCCACCCACAAATGTGAAATGGCGGAGAGTGGGGACAGAAAAGAGCAAGAAACAGAGAGAGAGAGTGAGCGAGTGAGCGAGCGAGCGAGAGAGAAAAAAAGAGTGGGTGAAAGAGAGCGAACAGCAGGCAGCACTTGAGGAGTTTTGCTTGCATTTCATTTATGCTTTTGTATCTATGTGTATGTGTGCGTGTGTGTGTGTGTGTGTGTGTGTGATGCAATGACCTCGAACTTCGTTTGCCCATCGGTGCATCTTGAAGATCTTTTTTCTACCAGGAGTGTATACCCTTGAAGATAAAGGGTACTGTGGACTTGACCGAAATGTCTGCAAAGCAGGGAAAATAAATACATAAATTTGTATTTATATATATTGTTGACCATACTGGTCAGATGGATATAGCCAGCTAAAATTAATGTTGTTGCAAGAACCACTTTAATATTAATTCGAATCAACACTCAAGTCACTCAACTAAATTTGATAGCTTTTAAAAGAAATACTTTTGGGTTCTAAAAATTAATTGCAACATATCTGAGCAGCCTGCAGTGCATGGCAGGTTCTTGGGCACAACTCAGTCAAAGTTGCATCTGAATGAAACTGCCTCGGGAACTGCTAGGGTATCAAAAGCAGCGACCTTCCATTTCGTTTTGTGTTTATTTTGTGGGAAGTAATATCGTATCTGGGCTTACCGGCAGTGGGCTTTGGGCTTTTGGGCTTAGGGCTTAGGGACACTGCAGGCACTGCAGGGCATGGCCTGGTCAGCGTCGCTTAGTTGGTCGGCTTAAGCGCCGTCAGTTGTGTGCTTCGACTCTGGTGACTGGAGAAGTGGGTGAGAGGTGGGAGGTGAAGGGTCTCCTGCCTATTGATAGCTGCTTATCTTGTCAGCGATGGCGACGCCACCTTTCTGGCTTATTGGCAGCTTCAGTTAAGAAATGGCGCAGGCACTTGCTGTACTTTTCCGGAAGTATTCTTTAGAGTTCTCCCAACTCTAATTCGTAATTATTATCAAAAATGGCATGCGAATTTTTTGCATGTAAAATAAAAATCAATAAAACTCTGCAGCCCCAGACAAGAGCTCGTGTGGAAGAGCGGAGCGGACAGTGGCACACACACACACACACACACAGGCAAACCGGCACTCAACCCTTCACACAGATACACCGGCAATAAAAACTGCAATAATATTCGTGCAGGCAGTGCAAAAATAACGACGCTCTCTCGCTCTCTCTCTCTCACCAATACAATGGCAAGCGACGGCCCCCAAGGCTGGACGCAGCAGCTCCAAATTCTCCAGCTCGTTCGCTGCTCTCTCAAATGGCAGAGCGGCGCTGCATGCTGCGGCTGCGGCAGCGGCAGCGGCTGCGACTGGCATGCCTGCAACATTTTGCGGTTGCTCTCGAAATCTAAATTTCAAGTTCGTCTCCCATGCAACTCATCCGAGTTGGCAGAGAGTTTTTCGGGCAACTTCAACTAGAGCCAGAGCGTAGACCCCCCCACTACCCGGCACACAGCAGCCGCATTCAGTCGGTTTAGCTACTGTTGCACGATGATTTTTACACCGATGCACAGGAATACGTCCTGCATTTGCCAGCAATGATGATGGAAGGATTACACTTCTCCCTTCGGCCCCACTGGCTGATAAGAGCATTTTCTATTTCCAAGGGAAGATGCAGAGAGAATTAGTTTATTTTACTTGCAAAATATAAATGCCCATGGGATCGTTTAGGCCTCCAAAAACCGTCGGTTAGAAACCTATTTACCGCGTACCAACAGCTCTAAATTCTTCTGCTACTATGCCGTGGGAGAGACGCAGAAAAAGAGGAGGAAAAAAATGCGAAAAACCTATGCAATAAATAAAGCAGCAAAATAAAGGTAACAGAAAGGGACAGCGGCTGCAGCGGGCACAGAGTGGCCCCAGCCCCAGCCCCAGCTCCAACTCCAGCTCCAGCTCCAGGCCCCGTCGTTCTGGTTGAAAACGAAACCGGATTTCTTTTTTGATTCATTTTTCCCCTCTGCCCCAGCTCGCGCTCGCGCCCCCACACTTTCATCCAGTTTTGTTTCCCTTTTTTTTTTAGAAGTTTTCGAGTTGTCTCGTGTTTGGAGCTGACTTTTTTTTTACATTTGACTGAGTTTTCGGAATGCAGTTTCCCTTCAGTTCTGTTCTGGGGTGGGGTGGGTTACTCTCTTTCGTTATGCTTTTATTTTATTGGATGGTTTATGTTTATTTTCGTACCTCTACTCTTCCCCAGCACTGCCCGACGCGGACACGGACGCGGACACACGGACACACGGACACGAATCACAGTTTCCGTGTAATGTTTTGCATATTGTTGCGGAGTGGAACAGGTTTTACTTTTTATTATGTTTTGTATTTCGTGGATTTTGCTGTTTTATTTTCTCGAATTTCTCGCTGTCCAAAAAAGGAATACGAAAAGCTTTTGTTTTGATTTTGAAATGGAACTGGAACTGGAGCTGAAACTGGTTTTCCGAGTCAGTTGGCTGCTTGTCCAGATCGTGTGCTGGAGTGGCCGGGGCCCTTCAAGAACTCCTGTGGCCCACTGCCCCACCACCAGCACCGTCAAGTCGGTGGCTCTGCCACGCCTCCCTCTGCTGGCTCCCCCTCGTTATCCTTTCGGGTGCCACTGCCACTGCCACTGCCACTGCTGCTGCTGCTGCTGGTTTTGCTGTTGCTGGGAAGTCTGCTGGGCAGTCGCACCATATCGACGTTGTAGAGCCTGAAGCCGACCTTCTTGCACCGCACATTGAGGGTGACGATCATGCAGTAGAGCAGCACCAGCAGCTGCCTGGCACGCAGCACATACGAGGCGCCCATGTCGTCCGGGAAGATCGGCTTGTCCCACTCGGAGCAGTCGTAGAGAAAGTAGCCGCCGTCGTGGCTGGAGCTAAAGCCGAAGGCGAAGCGCCGCTCCTGGCACTCCAGGATGCCCCACTCGAAGCGCGTGAAGAAGTAGCTGAGGCCCTCCAGCAGACTCATGGAGGCGCTGGCCGGGGCGCTGTACACATGCCCGAAGGCCACCAGCTCCATCTGCACCATGAAGTGGATGTCCTGGAAGTCGCACTGTACGCACATATCGTCCAGGCTGAGGTTCTGGTCCCACCGCTGGCTGTGCTCCACACTGGCCCGATAGTACTTGTCCCCGTTGACGACAATCGCGTCGAGCAGCTTGCTGGTCCAGTCGCCGAGCCGCCGGAAGATGCTGGCCACACAGCAGGCCACAACGTAGCAGCCGAGCGACTGGCGACCCCGCACCTTGCTATCGAACCAGGGGGCGCGCGGATGCAGGCCGCCCCATATCGACCACAGGCGGTCCTCGATCTCCACGTCATAGTCCCGCCAGCGGGTGCCGCTCTGATGCCGCTGGCGGCCCTCGAGGTTGTGCCTCAGTCTTCGACTCCAGATCGGAGTACTGTTGCCGGGCACCAGCCAGGTCATGGACTCGCTGCGCACGGTCTGGGAGACGGGCTCCTTGAGCAGCTTCATCAGCCCGACGATGGCGGCCTCATCCTCTGCGTGCTGACTGAACATCCTGCGTCCTCGCACCGAAGAGGGTCGCCAGCGGTGGTCCTGGAGCGGCTGCGGAATTCACCACGCACTTGAGGCCAATCTCTGGCCACATTTTGGCACTTCGCGGTGCACCAGCATGGGCCTGGGCCTGGACACGGGTGTACGGAATGAAACGGGAAATTTGGTGGGCGAAACTAAGGAGAAAGTACGGAGACGTAATCCGAACAGACAGACAAAATTTACAAGCTGAGCGAAAAGGCAAAGGCTGCTCCTGGTCCTGGTCCTCCTGGTCCTCCCACAGCCAAGGCCAGAGAGGCTGCTGGGTTCACGAGTCACGAGTCACGAAACGAAACGAAACGAAAGAAAAATGCCTCGTCTTTTCTTGTAATGTGTAATCAATGTTGCCACAAAACCAACAACACAACAACACAACGCAACAACACAACGCTCCCTAATCAGGTTGATTGAGGGAAAGGAGAAAGGAGCTGGAGCTCCAGGGATTCATTAGTCGCCTGATTTCCGTCTCCGTCTCCATCTCCGTCTCCGCACGCAGAGCACTTCCTCTTCATCTCGTCCAGGACTGTTTTGGTTTTGTTGAGCAGACATTCGCGGGACTGCCGCAAGTCCACTTCCATTTGGGCCAGCCGGCGTCCAATCCTCTCGTGCATACACTGCAGAATGGCCATGTCCCGCTCGGCCCGCTCTTTGCCGATCTTGCTGCTGTCCAATTTGTCGCAGAACACATCAATGTTCTGGTCCAATGAGACCATTTTGCACTCCATGCCACTGATTTTCTGGCTGAGCTCTTTGGCGCGACTCTTCAGGTACTGCAGCGGCTCCTCTACGACTGTTTCTGTTTCAGTTTCAGCTTCAGCTTCAGTTATTGTGTCCTCGAGCTGTGGCTCCGGATCCTCCATTTCGTTTGGTGTCTGATAAATCTGGCAAACCTTCGACAGGCTGCCACGAAACTGCTCCCAATCGGCGCTGTCTGGGCCACCCTCCTCCATATTAGTTGTGAACTCGTTGATCTGAACGACAAGCTGATTGATTTCATCCTCCTTGCTGATCTCCTCAGGGCGAAACTCCTCTTGAGTTTCCTCCGTTTCAGTGTCTTCCTGTTTCCCACTGGACAACTCAGGCTGGAGCTGCTGCTCGCTCTTGTGGCCGCCACACATGATGCCCCTCTGTGGGTTGTATATTCCATGAGCGGATACCTTTACGGAGACCAGCACCTACCTTTATCAGTGTCGACTTGAGATTCTTGGCCTTGGAGAGAGCCTTCTTCATGAACTCATTGCGCATTTCTTTGACCAACTCCTCAATGTGGCCGGAAACGGCAGAGTCTGCGGTCAAGCGCCGCCGATAGTCACCGCAGTCGGCCTCATCCTCGTCCGTTGGCTTGTCCAGTGACTCGTACTCGATCAAACCCTTCTGCGAGTGTGCAGCACCTCCCCGGGGATTGGTTACTGGGATGCTCGCTGCAGTGGCGCACTACTCACCTCCACCATACAGCCCAGATGAATGTCATCCGGGGTGAGCTCAACATCAACATCCATCTGTTCGCGGGTCAGACCGTCCTTCAGGGTCATCAGACTGTCAGAGGAGAGCACCTCGCTGAGGGGTTCAGCCTCCCCGATGCCCAAGGAGGCGTCGTCCGTGGGCTGTTCCCGGTTCCCGGTCGATTCCATTTTACCGAAAATTTACAAAATGTTTCACGCTCGTCTGAAATGAATTGAAATGGTTACGAATTTGAAATGATTTGTGGCACTGATTTGATGTTGACACTTGGCTCTGGCTCTAGGCTCAGGTTTGGCTCTGGGTTTGGGTGTCTGGGCCTACTTTTCGGGCCAGTGATTCTGGGCCAGGGATTCCGTTTCCGATTATGTGGACCCGCCCTGGGAGCAGTACGCCGTACAGGCAGAAAAGAAATTATGTTCGCGTTGCAGCAACGCATTAGTGCAACCAATAATTTGTGGCATCGTAAACACGTCGTAAATGTTGCACTGGCAAATTTTAGGCCTTAATTTTCTATAGAAGACAACGGACAAGGGACTCTCTTTCCCTCTTTCCCCTTGGGCCACTTGCCCGAGCCCCGCCATTCCACGCCATTCCTCGCCATCAGTGAGCTTCTTGCAACTGCAAGGCGTAATTACAGTCCATTAAATTCGCAGCGTTTGCAGCGCGGTTGCTTCTTTCACTTGGCGCATGCATGATAAGTGCCACTTGCCACTTGCCGTTTGCCTGTTGCCTCCTTGGCACTCGCACTCGCACTCGTCCCATCCCATCCCCTTCCCCATTCCCACCACCTTAGCCAACAACGTGCGTTCGCTCATCAAAGGGAAATGAAAACGTTTCGCATTTCTCTTTTTTGCTGCTCTTTCTGTAGCATGCAACAGCAGCAGTCTTTGTTTCTGTCTGTCTGTCTGTCTGTCCGTCGGTCTTTCAGTCGGTCTCTGAGGTGTAACATACGAGTAAAATATGTTCCTACATATGCTGCAAGGGGCATACTCGATTCAGTACAAATTAAACCAGAACTCAGCCTTTTTGGGGAGGGAGGCTTGATTTTTCAGCTTCTTTCAGCAAAGAGCAGATGGAACTGGAGTGGCACTTCTGATTCATTGGAAGTACAGACTGTTCGTCCTTTGGAGGATCTGGCATGCTAAAGTCTCCATGAGCAGACTCTCACAATATTCAGATCGGAATTTCACTGAGAGTCAACGCAGGGTGATCCAAGAGTCGTCGTCGTCGTCGTCTCTCTGTTCCAAGTCCCCATTTGTTTTCTCTTATTTTAATTAGAGCCTTGTGCCTCTCGGTTGGCGTCCGTTTGTCTCCTCACCGCTGACTGTTGTTGGTTGGGATTCAACCTGCCTCTGCCTCTGCCTCAGCAGCAGCTTAAGACGTATAGCAGTGGCACTTCTCAGGCCAGTAATTACATAACTCGCTGCCATGGCCATGACCGTGGCTAGAAGATGTCGAAACGAGCGACTGCCACTGCCTCTGCCACTGCAACTGCCTGATAGGTTAATCAATTTATTTGAATGCGCAACGGGGACGAGTGTAATTGCCTCTCTCTGCGATGCTTATCGTCAAGTTGATGGAAAAGAATGGGCTGAAATGGGAAGAGCCAGAGATGGGTGGGTTTTGGATGGAAATAAAGAGATTTACCACAAGTCAAGTATCTCTAATATGGCATTTCCTAGAGAATATTCATGAAACTGGCACAAAAAAGAGATATGATTAGGCCCGAGACGGGGCCGATCAAATGATCGGCTATTAATGGGTGGGTAGCTGTCTGGCGTGGATAAAGCGAGGAAAGCGTCGCTGGGAAAACTGGAAAATGTGTGACCAATCGGCAGAGAGTCATGGCTTCAATTAGCAGTGAATGATTGCAACAAAAAGGTGGAGTCCGATGGGGGATCTTCACTTTTATCTAGCCGAGAGACAGGTATCCCATCCGATGCGATCCTCCCTTCCTGCTTTATCAGGCCTGCCTTTCACAGGCTTGTACTTAACTTTTAATTATAGCGAATCCCCCAGTGTCCCCCCCGTCTACTCATTCTACATACAAATTATATATATGTATTATGTGGACAGTGGATTTTTTGCGCTGCGGTTGGTGGCATTTTATGATTAATTTTATTAATATTCGTGCACATTGTTTGCAGGCAAATAATAATAAATTCGAAATAAAAACAAATACTGCCTTAAACAGTATCGAATTATTGGATAGATGTCGGCTGAACAATGACGAAGGGGATGCAATTAAAAAAAAAACTGCACAAACATGCGCAATTTCCATAGATGAATCCACTGATGATTTATTAATTTAATTTCGTATTAAAATCCAGCATAATTGCAAAGGTTTATATTCATACACACACACACACACACACACACACACACACACTATATATAAATAATGAAACAAAGCTCTCGTCGGACAACAAACAACAACAAAGAGGAACCAAAATTCTTTATAATTAATTGAAAATGTTGTCGGATCAGGGAAAAGCGGAATGACAAATTGTTGATTATATTGCTATTATAATGCATGATTTGCCAGGCAGAGGCAGAAAAAGCCCAAGCCTAATTAGCTATTTTTTTTAGCAGGCGCCTGCCTGCATTCCAGCTCCGTTCCTTCGTGTCATTGTGCCTCTAAGCAGCACTAATCGATATGGTGATGCATTTCAGAGAGGCTCTTCCAGTGACGGGGCCAGATCTTGCATTTCGCTGCGATATCGCAGAGGTCAGGGAGAGATAAGGGCCCGTGGACAAGGGCCTCCCTTTGTTCTCGATTTTTTTGTGCGCGGCTACTGAAGCGCACTGGCAACAGAATGGGGGAGGGGGGGCTCTGCAAAGGGGAATGACACATAATTGTGGATCTATGCACCAAAATCCCGAATTGAGTTTCTCTTTTTCGGTAATGAAACCTTCAAGTGGTGAGTGCTTGCCACCAAACCAAACCAAACCAAATCGAACCGAACCGAACCGAAAAGTGCAACACCATTTCTCCGCCTCACCTCGAAGCCTCACCTGCCACACAGCACTTGCTCCTGCCACAGCCCACACAGGCTCTGTTCGCAGGTGGTGTGTAGCCGTTGGCCTTTTCTGAGTCCACAATTTTCGTTATACTCTTTCGAAGAGAGGAGTTGCCAAAGCAAAAAAGGAAGTTTTAATTCGCAAATATTCCAGGCAATGTATCCCCGTCGCAAATGTCCTTCGACCTCAGACACATTCGAACTGTATCCTGCGTATCCTGTGCCATCGGAATAGCCACATCCGAAAGGGTATATAAAAGGCATCAACCCCCCAGGAGCTGCACATTTTGCTTAATTTTTCGTTTTGTTGCATTTTGTTTTAGCCGCCAATCGGCGTCGGCTGACCGAACTTGAAATTGGATATCTGCTACGAGTACAACAGCAAGCCAACAATGGCAACCTGTTGCAAGCCACAGCCAAAGCCAAAGCCAAAGCCGAAACTCGATGTTGTTTGTCGCCAAATGCTGCTGTGCTGTGTGCTGTGGTGTGCTCTGTGCTGTGTTTGCCCACGTGGTGTCATGAACTTGCCAATCCATTCCGGTGAAAAGCAACAAGGCTGCCTCTGCCGCTGCCTCTTCCTCTTCTGCTGCTGCTGCTGCTGCTGGGGAGAAATTTTCCTGTGGAAAGTCGCAGAAAGATTTCTGTTCACACACACATGGGAGAGGGAAGGTGCATGAGAAGGAGGAGGAGGAGATCTGCCTGGAAAGGATCTTGCATGCGAATGCAACCAAAGAAAAGATTCTCCACTGTGGCTTTTAATTGTCAAATGCATCAACCGGAAAGAGAGCAGAGCAGAGCAGAGCAGAGCCAGAGCTCCGGCAATGAGGATGATGATGATGACAAAGGCCCAGCACGAGTCTCTCGTGCAAGAGCCGCCTGGGATGGTGGCAACACTTGAGCCAACACGCCGCCAGCCGGGGACACGTGTCTGGCTAAAGGCAGGGGGTGGGGCCACTCGTATGAGGGAGGGGCTGGCAGCAGGCAAGTGGCTAATTAAGGCTGCGACAGCCACACACGCCTCAAAGTAAGACACCTCAGTGGCTGCCAAATGCCAAATCAAAGCGACAGATGATTTGCATTGCCACAAAGCAACAGCAGTCCCGTCCCTCCATCACCCCTCCTTCCCCATCCTTCACGGCTCTTGGCAGATGATGGGGATGGCGATGGCGATGGCGTGCCAACAAGTCCAACTATTAATCCGAGTATGTGGAACACAATTCCTCTGGCAATTGCCAAGGCAATTTCACAATTATCGCATGTACCTTAAAATTCCAACAACTTGGTTTCATATCATGGCCCCCCTCCCCGTGGCATGGGATAGCTAATTGAAAAGCTGCGTGTCCTAGTCCGAGCAGAAGCAGCAGCAGAAGAGTGCTAGCTGTGTGTCTTCTATTGGGGAGCGGGATCGGGGATCGGGGACTGGGACTAGGACTGGGACTGGGGGACTTGTGTGGTCTTATCGCACTGACAGTTGTCAGTGCCGATAACTGACACTTTACACCAAACCATTTATGTTCCGTGTTCCGTGTTGCAGCATTCGCTGCAGCCTTCGAAGTTCTCTTTGGACCCTGGCCTGACATTATTTGTCAGTTATTTTTTGACTGGTTGCTGGATGGGTTTGGTCTGCTAGCGGTGCTCCAACAGCGTCAGGAAATGGGAACTCTGGGATAAGGTGCAGACAGATGGACAGATTGACTGACGGCACAGGAGATTCAGATTCGGAATGCAATCACAACTTCCGTGTTTGGCCGTGTTGGCCCTCTCCTCAATGACACAACACAGTAATGGCCGAGAGGCTAACGCTAACCCAAATACCAACGCATTGTCCAGGCTAATGAGCGAGCCACTTAGCTCAGCTCTCCTGGCATTCCTGCAACTCATGGAACATCGCAGCGAAGTGTGCGCAACTTTAATTTCCAGCACCATAAATCAAATCCGCGACCCAGCCAGCCAGCCAGCCAGACAGCCAGCCACCAAGTCAGAGCCAACTCTAAATGAAGTAGTTACCAAGTTGCCATCGACCAGGCCAGCGCATTGAACGCCATTCATCATCATCACCATCACCAGCACCAGCACCAGCACCATCATCATCGTCCATGATGCAGGGAATTCAATTCACGCCTGCAAGGAATGCCTTTGAGAGTGCACAAACATCCCAGGTCCCCGCAGCACCAGAAGCAGCAGCAGTTGCAGTGCGTCGCATGAGGCGATAATTAGCGCGCAATTGTCGTTAACGCCGCCTTTGTCTACGTCTATTCCTGCTCCATGCTCCCAAGGGGGAGCAGCAGCAGCAGCAGCAGCAGCAGCAGTTGATCGTCCGACAGGGAACGTGACGAGCAACACAATTGCAGTCAATCAGCGATTGGATGAGTTGGGTTGGGTTGGGTTCGGTTGGGATTGGGATTGGGATGAGATGGCGAATGAGATGATCACCTGCAGAAGGTGTACCGAGCACTCACGACGATCATTCTATGCAGCAAAGACTCGAGAGAGCTCCAAGGAGCAACCGGTCGGTTGCTGCATAAATCATAAAATAAAAGACACTAAAAGCGAAAATAAATCACAAGAGCGCATTGGGGGGGCATGCGGCATGCGGGGGAAACCGGACGGACATTAGAGAAATTTGCCTGGCCAGAGACCGGCTACTGGCTACCGACTGCCCGAGAGATCCCCTGGCCGAATATTAATTGTGAGTGCACCGGGCGCATCAATTCAAAGTCTTGGACTCTCCACATCCCAAACAAATCCCGCGGCGAGCTGCGAGCTACGAGTCTGCCTGAGCCCGAACCCGAGCCTGAGTCCGAGCCTGAGCCTGAGCCTGAGCCACAGCTCATGCGTGGCTGGATGAGGCATGGGACCTGAATGTAGTCTCCGATTGCCTTTGAAATATGACGCCCAGTTTTTTGTGCGCATGGAAATGGATTTCTCTGGCGAGTCTCTATTCTGTGCATTTGCAATGCGAATGCAGCGTGCATTTCCGAGAAGCCAACAAGTCCAGGCCGGGGCCACAGCACATGGGCGTCGTTCTGCTCCATGCGCCATGCTCCATGCTCCATGCTCCATGCTCCATTTGTGCAAATGAAGCTGGAATGGTGGCTGGTTGTGATGCATGCGAGTGTGATTAGAATTTGCCACAATTATGCCACAATTGTTGGCCATCAAAAAGGGGTAGGGAAGGGAAGGGAAGGAAAGGCAAGGGAACAGACCGAACCAATTTCGGAGGCAGATTGTTTGGCAGCCTCCTTGTTCCGCCAATTAACAATAAACGAATGTTAATCGATTCAAAGTACAGTTGCCGCACGTTCTGCCAGTCAATTGCTGCCATCCACTGCAGTCCGCAGTCGAAATGCCATTACGGACACATGCTAATGACGGCCACATCTCTCTCTCTCTCTTACTCTCGATCTGTGGCTCTGGTGGCTCTGTGTAGATCTCTGGCCTAAACGCGGTGAATCTGCAGTTTCTCTGGCCCATAAACTGACTGCCAACTACCGACTTCTGTCCGTTTTTTCTTTTTTTGTTGCGAATATGCCTCCTATGGCGTCGCGACTCGAATCGTACTCGAGTGGAGGCGATGAGGCAGGAAAAACCGGCAGGCAGTCAGCAGGCAGAACTACCAGAGCGGCGGCAAAAAGTGGCAAATGTAATTTAATAAATTAATTACATCAATTAGTTGCTGCATTTTTATTGAAATTGCTGTAAATATTGGGCTAGCCAGCAGCCAGTGGCCAGTGGCCAGTGGCACCAGTCTGCCATTCCGCCTGGATTTATGGAGCATTTCTCATCGCCATCGCCATCGCCCCAATGGCAAGGGGCAGAAGCAGAAGGCAGGCAGCCTAACTTATGCGAAATTTATTCGATGTGGAATCGGTAGGAGTGTCCCTCCGGCCCGGAGTTAATGAAGGCGCTTTGTATTGATTAGCAGCCGCGGAACGGGCACTGTCCGCCGTCCAAGACAAATGGATTCAAATGGGCTCAGGGGAGCCAAGTTATTAGATTTAAAACAAAACAAAAAAACCAATATTCAAAGAGTGAGAGGGAGAGGGAGAGGGCGAGGGCGAGGAGCACTCAATCGATTTACAGTCCATTATGTCAGTCAAATCCGCAACCTGCCCCAACGCCTCGGGATGGCTTTATTTATGGTGTCAAGCGTGTGTGTAGTGCTGAGGTGGTGGGGGGGAGGGTACGTGACTAAACTGCTAGCTACACCATCTGCATAATCCGGTCTGGAATTACATTGGAAAATGCCCAAAAACCAATTGAAACAAAGGCAGGGGCCAGGCTAGAACATTGGCTGCATATTGATGTGGTGCGGGGACGGATGGATGCCTGCTGCAGTGTACCATCCAAGTCCGAATCCACACATCCAAATCCATCCAAGTGCAAATGCAAATGCAGCCAGCGCCCCGTGATTGATTCAACTGCGGATCGTGTTGGGCCCGCTTTTGTGTCGCGCGTTTTGGGGTCAGTGTCAGCGTGAGGTCGGGGCACCTGCACCTGCACCCGCCCCCACACATCTCCACCCATCTGCGACCACACACGCAATCCGCATCTTAAGCAGCCCCCTGGCTCTCGGCGGGTGTCTCTCGTATATATTCCAGCCCCACTGCCAGTGCACCGTGTAGTCGGTCAGTCATGACAATGGAACTCAGCTCGACGCTTGCCTGTGTGCTGGCCACACTCTTTGTTCTGGGCCTGGGCCTGGTCCAGGCGGATGTGGGCGTCGCCCAGCAGCGTCTGCGCCTGCAACAGCAGCGACAGTCCTCCTATCCAGCGGCTGGCTACAAGCCGGCCATGCAGTTTCCCCTACCCGCAGCCGCTGCTCAGCCCCAGTCCGCTCGCCTGGTGGCCAACAGCGAGGCACAGGAGGATCTCGACGATGCCGCCGAGGAAGTGGAGGTGCCCATGTCAAAGGTAGCGACACCTGTGCCCGTTCCAGCGGCAGCACCAGTGCCAGTGCCAGTTCCAGTTCCAGTCCCAGGGGCCGTGCCTGTTCCAGCAGCAGCTCCATTCACACCCACAATCGCCTATTATCCGGCGGGAGCTGTGGGCTTTGTCCATCCCACGGCATATGCCAAGATTATTGCCGCTCCGCAGCTGCCACAAGCGACAGCCGCCTATGTGACTGCGCCCCAGTACTATGCCGCGTACTTTGGATAAGTGCCCCACTCGGGGGATGGGCACACGTACCTTAACCCCCATAGAAATTATTCTAATAAAAGTTTATTGTTACTGTTGAACACACTGCTTGCCTCTGGCTCTGGCTCTGACGCTGACTCCTAGAGGCGGCTGCTTCCAGAATTAATCTTGTTCATAGTTTAATTGCGCGCTTCTCCCGTCTCGTGCTTGGATCTGCTGATCGAAAACCATGTGATTAGGCATGCTCCATCAACATGCCAAATCTGCAAGACGACGACAACGAATCTTGGCTACCAGCCTAGGAGGAGGAACAGACAGACAGAAAGCTGCTTACCGAACGGTAGGCACTGGCTCTGGCACTGGCTCTGGCTCTGCAACAGTCCGTCTGCGCTCAGTGCCTGCCTAACGAGCATCTGTGGAGCTTGTGGGGTGGAGGGCAGGAGTGGAGTGGAGTGGAGGGGAGAGCTGCTCCGACAATGAGTGAGCAAAGATAATCTATTATGACCGTAACAAGAAATAAATCCCAACTCGGTAATCCATCATTTTACGACTTGGCAATCAAAACAAGGAGTTTAACTAAAAGAGTCTCGGCCTAAAGAGAACGATGGCCTGGCCTGGCTTGGCCTGGCCAGGCCCGCAGGACTGACGACGGACTGGACTGGCCTGGCGGACAGTCAGTCCAATAGTTGGCTCTGACTCTGACTCTGGCCCAATCAACGACAACCAGGTTGGATGGTTTGCTAACGAACAAGTCGAGAGTCATGTTAACTGTTGGCCAGAACTAGAAGCGCAGCTCAGCCAGAGCCCGCCGAAACCTCTGGCTGTGGCTGTGGATCTCTGGCCTGTCCTAAGATTGGGCCTGGTCAGCAAACATGCATTTTGGACAGGCTGCTGCTGGTGCTGCTGCTGGTGCTGCTGCTGGTGCTGCTGGTGCCGCATCGCATGCACATTCAGGCCAAATCAAAGGAGCAACTGGTGGAAAGCTGGCTCAATTTACGGCGGCCCCTGACGTGACGACATAGCCACAGTTGGCAGCTTTGGGCCATTTTGGGGGCACCCGACTAAATAGTTGCCAATAATCCGTGTCCAAACTGATCGGGGGCTGCCTTTTATGGCCATGGACGAAAATTAGATGCCAAAATGCGGCCTGCGAATGGATGGTGGATGGCAGATGGCAGGAGGAGCGGAGAACGAGGAGGAGGATGCTTCATTACCGATGCACAAACTTGGGCGTGTGCGTCTCGGTTGATTAGCAACGGTTCTCGGCCAAACATTTTGCATTATTATTGCTTCATCAAGTGTCCAGTCCAGCAGCCGACAGCCAGCAGCCAGCAGCAGCAGCAGCAGATGGGGATTTGAGAAGGCCAGAACGGAATGCCAATCACTGCAGAAACCTAAGCAGTGACTGACTGCCTGCCTGCCTGCCTGCCCCTGCCTGCCTGCCTGCGTGCCCCCAGCGAATCGGTCAAAGGCAAAGCCACAAGACCCACAAGACACACAAGACACAGAGACACGAGAGACACGACCCGTAAGAGCATTTGGAACTGCTCAAACATTTTTGAAATCGCATTTAGAGGTGAAGGGTGCAACAGTTAGTGGCATATCTGATATCTGCCCGGTTCGGTTCGGGTCGGTTCGGGTCAGTTCGCTGCCACATGGAACGCAGCCAAAGGGGCTTAGCAAAGCGGCAGGGTAATTAAAAAGAAATATGGGACACACACCCCGTCCACACTATTGTGGGGCGGCACACTTTCTGCCCACACTACAACACAGTGGTGCAGCCGTATCAGTTACCAATCAGTCGGGGAGTCGTCGGGAGTGTGGGTGGGTGGTTGTTCGTATCTGTTTTTACATTGGGGAAAATGTTTTCCAACGTCAGCGCAGTAGAAAATGAAAAACAAGCAGCAGACGCAGCAGCAGCAAATTGAAAAATAACAAAAACGAGCTGCATAAATCCGAATACCGATAGAGCAACACGTATTCAGGAAGCAAACATGAGAGATATATATATCCTCTTATGGTTTGAAAAGATTTAATGGCGAGTGTGGATATTTTACATATTATAAAACGAATATCAATAGGATTTTACCAGAGCAACAAAACATGAACAATTCATTTGAAATGCGCGCTCAGCAATAATTTTGATGGGCAGCACTGTCAAAGCGTCATTTTACAGCACTGAATTTCGCTTCAGCTGTGTCAATAATTTGGGCACCAATTTGTTACGCATTTCAGGTAAAAAAAGGTCCAGTGGTTCAACTATTTAAATAGAGGCGGATTAAGTGTTAAGTTCGTTTTTTGCTCGGTATGTATACCAAATTTCTGGGGTATACTTTTAACGCAAAAATGAGCAATTTCTGCGGCTAATTTTATAAGCTTGCTGTAAAAGCTTGTTGGTCCACTGGGTAATAACTTGTTGAATAGGCAACAGAATCGGCCAACTTGTCGCTCTAGCGCACGTGGTTGTTGTTGTTATTCTAATTATACAAATCCACACTCAGAAGAACACGACACGCAAGCGTACGCATTAAAACAACTCTACACGTCACCAAAGTTTCTCCCCCCAAAGCGTAAGTAGATCAAACAATCAAATACTCGTATGTATAATAATTTGATAATTACAGAGAATGCGTCAATTGAAAGGCAAGGTCAAGGAGACGCGCAAACAGAAGAAGGAGCGCAAACTAGATAATGTGGAAATACAGGGAAAAATTCGTACAATTGTTTTGCCGGCCATGGGCGTCGTAGCACTAGTTCTAGTGCTGTTCGTCTACCTAAAGACGCGGCCTGCAGTCACTGCCTAGTGCAACGATAAACATTCACACCGTCCCATGACCGTTTATAGTCTTAAGTTTATTTATTTTCTGAATTTAAATGTTACCTGTTCAGTGTGCAATCCGTGTCTAAAGTTGTTTATTGTACAAATATAGTTGTATGCATCGTTAAAAGGATTTCCTCTCATTAAAATGACCATGACTGTGTCGCCAATGTCTATGACTCGAACCTGGTCGAAGGGGCTCCCTGAAATCTTTGACGAGATCGATAAAGACAAATAAAAAAATAAATATATTTAAAAAACAATAGATTACCGATTTCTTTACTTCATCCCAGGACTTATCGGTGTCGAATTTTCCAAAATAGTTTTCCAGTATTTTATTGAATTCCGGTATTTTGGGCTGGGCGCTGCACGGTCACGTAGCTATCGAAGTTATCGGTATCAAGAAAAAATGAAACTATCAATGAAATAATGAAACGCAGTTATCGAAAAGTTTTTTTATCACAGCAGGGCTGCTTTGAAAAAAAGTTGGCGGCAAAATTGAAATAAAACGTGAAATCAGCTGCTTGATGTTTCTGATATTTAAAATTCCCATACATACATACATTTTAACTATATTTTAACAATTTGGCATTTTTTCGTCATATCCATATTTTAGCTATGGTATTTTTAATTATTTAATGCAAAAAATTCAAAGAAATATTAATATGTTAATTAGTTTGGCCGATTAGCTGTCCAGACAAAGTCTACAACGACCATGACAACCACGAACAGGTTTTATTTTTGGCTGTTTGTGTTTTTGTGAGTGTATCATTTTCACGCTGTCAGAAGCGCTTGTCGTTTGAATTTGAACAGAGAAAAATTAATTAACATATCTCGGATATCAAGTGCAGTTTAAATTACACCTTTTCGTAGAGTATTTGCACAACCTGTAAGCAGAGCAGGTTATCGGCGCTAGCTGTTATTATCTAATCTCTGCAGAAAATTAAACGTGAAATCAGCTGTTCGCTCATACATCTGCTCTTGACGTTTGTTACACACACACACACAGTCTCATTTGCACATAAAACTGGCGGCGTTCGACGGTAAAAGTGGCTTTTATACGACAATGCTTAAATTTTTGGTGAGTTAAATTTAATAATATTAACAGTGGTTGTGCAGAAAAAAGTGCCTTTGTGTGTGCATTAATAGAAAGCGGCAGGATTATGGATACATGGCCAATTTGTGGCTTTTCTTTTTGCGGCGATGACGTTGTGGCCCCTGTCTCGTCATCAACAACTAACTTTTGGACAAAAAAAACATACAAATTTGGATATGAGACAAGCGCTTTCAAGGTTATATAACCAGGCGAGCACGGTACCCTTGGCCTATCCGATCCCAGTTGGATTTTGGAAAAATGTCAACTGGTACACTTTGATGCTTTGGCAAGCGACACAAGTCTGACGAAATTCCTTAAACCAAATTCAATATCGTGCATAAAATTCAACAAAAATGAAGTTGCTTGGACTCGGTGTGCAACTGATGAAGGCCAGATGTGGAGCGGGCCCCAACCAGCGCTCCTACAGCTGCTGTCCAGAGATGCAGGACACGATTCCGTATTGCCAAAAAAAGCCATTCTGGAACTTTAAAAGAACCATGTTCTTCTCTCTGGTCAGCCAGAAATGGGGGAAAACGCTTCAATGTAATCCGCTTTAACCCGCTTCTCTTTTCCACCCTCTCTTGCAGCTGACCTTTGGAGCCGGAATTTACACGGGCATCTACATATCGCAGAACTATGAGGTACGGCTAACATCCACCTCCCCCCTACTCTCAAATTGTCTATACTGATAATACCCTATCCTAATCTATGTGCAGGTGCCGCGTGTGGATGATCCGCAAAAACTGGTCCAGAGAATGAACGAAAAGCTACGAGAGCTAATTGACGACAACAAGAAAAAGTAATTCCATATTCGTTATAATCTCTCGGGCGTTGTCGTTCCTTCTGAACACCATCCATCTCCTCGCACTCAAAATCCATAGTTACAATAAAACTTTCGACTGACCTTTAGTTATGGCTATTAATTATTATTTGATGAGGCTCGGAAGGCAACAGAACGAAGTATTGGGAGCGGAAGGACTGATCATAGGGGACTACTCATTTACCGAATATATTAGGTTAAAGTTTCAGTTTTAAATAAAGTGACGCTTGTAACGCATTCTAATTACACTTCCCTCTCCACAGGTCGGCCGCTGAACAGATCGTTCATGACATCAAAAAGGAGGCAAAGAAGATCTTGGATGATTGATAAAAAGCGCTATGTTAGGCTTTAAAGTTTAAACAAATTTATCTATGGTCAAATAAAGTTACGTTAAATGTGCATATTCGCTACCAGCTATTACAAACTAAACAAAGGATATTCCGCCTCCATAATATTCCAAGCGTGTTTGCGGCTGGACAAAGGCCAGCCAGTCAGAGGCGTGTGTGGGCAACAGGCCCATGCTATGGCATTTGTAGAGGGCCAGCGCTACGTTGGCCAGGTTGCCGAGGAAGTAGACTATGCGTTGACCCGTGCCCTGGGCGCCTTCGGCCATTTTCGAGGTTACTTGGGTTGTGAACATTGCCTTGATGGGACGCACCAGCATCATGCCGACCATCATAATGGGGAAAATCGATATAGAATTGCCGGACATGTACATGATGAAGAGATTCATGGGTATCTGCAATGGATCCAAAGGTTATTAGGTTCGGTCTGCAGCCTGTGCGCGCACAGTCGGCACTTACATTCTTCAGCGGCCCCAGAGCCAGATCCCATGATTTCTTTATAACCAAACGCTGATCGCGAACCACTTCGGTTTGATTCACCAGTGCACTGGGATTGTAGCCCAGCGGAGATGGAATTTCCGCATTTTTACTGCACGGGAAAAACAAAATCTTGTGTGAAAATAATATCTATTACTGTGCCGCTGTGCCGCATTTACCTTCCGTTAAAGTCCAACGCCCACTTGAATTTCTTTGAATTTTGCTTTGCAGACATGTTGAGTTTTTATTTAATTAAATGATTGAACAAAATATGACGATTCGGGGGTAAATTTTTCACGCAATTGGGCTATCGATAAAGTATACCGAAATATACCTTTTCATGTTCAAAATATACCGGAAAAATACCGATGAATAAAACGAACTTAGCCCTGTAAGCCCCCTTCTATTTAAACAGATGAACCGCTTGAGTTAATCCGCGTAAAATAATGCTTACTTACCAACAAAAAAAACTGAGCATCATATCTTTCACCTGAAATGAGAAAAATATTTTAGATATTTTAGATAGATATTTAATAAATTTCTAGGCAATATTAAGTACCCCCCTGGGCGACAATGGGTTAATAGTTCTCTGTCGATGATCCGAAATCTTGTTCCTTGATCTTGATATTCGGCTTAAGCAGGACATGCCTCGCCTCCTTGACATCGGGAGAATGCCCCGGTGGGCTGCAAGTTCGAACTGACTGGCCACGGAGGAAGTGCAGACCGAGACGAACGAAACAAAAAATGGTGCATTTCACGTATTATAAAAATGTCCAGCCGGTTTTATTTATTTAAATTTTATTTAGAATTACCTTTTAAATAGTACGTTTTCCGTTTTAATATGGTTTTATGTATATGCGTGTGTGTTTGTTTTATGGTTTTTCATTTGTATGCCAAGCGACGACACGAAACGAAAGTGTTAAAAATTAAAATGGTTTTTTGTTGTTTATTACTTCTCATTAATATTACTTTTATATTTATAAAATTAAAAAGAAATATATATTGATGAGGGGGGGGGGGGGAGGGGACAAAAATAACTTAAAAAAGACATTTTTATACCATATACTTTAGTGTTTCCTTTTCTTTTGCGATTGGTTGGGGTTTCTCTTTTAATCGTTTCGTTTTTAAACATCCAATAATTATGTATATAAATTTAAATTAAATTATAGCGTTCTTTTATATGCTGTTTGAAAAGTTCGGTTCTTGCAATTTCAACTTCTTGTTTTGTAAACGGACAGAAAGGAGGAGCCTTTTAAGTTATGCAAAGATCTCTGCTCTTGTTGTTGCTGCTGCTGCTGTTGTTGTTCATTCATGATGACGATTTCCACCGTTTTCCTGTGTCTGTTTTGTCTGTCTGTTGGTTGGTGTTTCTGACGTTGATGCTGGTTCTTTTTGCTTCTGCTTTGCTTGAAATCAAAGTTAGTGTGTATTTATCTTGTTGTGGTTGTAGTTTTATGGTGTGTTTAATTAGCGATTAGCATTCTTCAGCTGATTGGACAACCAGTCGAGTCCCTCGTAGAGTCCATCGCCGCTAGTTGCACACGTCGCTTGAATGTACCAGTTGCGGTTTCTGAGTGAGTGCAAACCGAGCTTGTCGGTAATTTCAGCCGCATTCATTGCATTTGGCAGATCCTACAAAGAATCAACAACAACAAAAATGGGATTACATTAGTATTTTCAATAATTTAAATCAAATATTCTTGACTATAAATTGGCATATCAGTCCCGTCTTGAAACAAAATAAACTTTGAATAATCATAGTATGAATCATAACAAGTTATTAACATCATCTAGGAAGAGTTTCTGGCCCACATAATAAACCAAAGTGCACAGCCAATTGCTCGTATCGGCAGGCATATGCATATGTATGTCTGCAACTGCCTTATCAACGTATGTGTAAATTTTTGTGTAAATTTTTCACACATATTCGTTAATGGAACTCAAAATTTGTCACTGCTTTGGTGTGTTATGTGGCGACAACCGATTCGGTTCGTCTCGCACTTCTCATGCTTACCTGTTTGTTGGCGAATATTAGTAAGACTGCATCCCGAAGCTCGTCTTCCGCCAGCATGCGCATCAATTCCTCTCTCGCCTCACCGATACGCTCTCGGTCATTGCTGTCAACGACGAAGATAAGACCCTGTAATTAACCAAAAGGTATTCCAATTAGTGGATATGCCATAGAATTGTAGCTAAGGATCTTTTGGGAGTACATATTGACAAATCAGTCCCGTCTTGAAACAAAATAAACTTTGAATAATCATAATATGAATCATAACAAGTTGTTAACATCATCTAGAATGGGGGAGGGTGGGTCTGTGTTGCGATAGATGCCAAGATCCAGACACTTACTTGTGTATTCTGGAAGTAATGCCTCCACAATGGACGAATTTTGTCTTGGCCGCCCACATCCCACACTGTAAAGCTAATATTCTTGTATTCTACAGTCTCCACATTGAAACCTAGAGAGAGCATCGATTGGGGAAGAGAATAAAACATACAGAATAAGTACCAGAGAATGGTTGTAGTTGCTAGCTATGTAGTTTCACTTACCAATGGTAGGTATCGTTGTAACAATTTCGCCTAATTTGAGTTTGTACAGAATTGTGGTTTTACCAGCGGCATCCAAACCGACCATCAATATTCTCATTTCCTTTTTGCCAAAGAGGCCTTTAAATAGATTGGCGAATACATTTCCCATAGTTGCTTGCTTGTCTTTCGATTCTTTTGATTAAAGGAGAAGGAAATCGGTTCTGCTGTTGCTGTTGGCCTTCTTGCTTGGCTGGAATTATAACAAGTTCAAATCCGAGTTGCAAATGCTGGTGAAAATATGCAAACTCTGGACTTGTGTGCTTGGACTTGGAGAATCTGTAAATGAACCAAACAAAACAGATGTTTTAATGAACCATCAATGCTGGCTATGGCTATCGGTCTGTAAACTGGAACTGATCCGAATGACAAATAAAACAAACTATGTTATGATTGACCTGCCGACTGAATTATTGTCTGGCATTGCCTTTTGTTTGGCTTAATCGTTACCCCCCAAGCTGACGTGTTGATATCTTCCATAACTGAGTCACAACGGACAACGGACATTTTGTAACTCTTGAAAAAGTCCGGCGCTCCTCTCTTTGGGAATATCTGACATAGTATAGGTATCATTTTTTTCCCCCTAATTTCAATATGTTTCCCGCTGCTCGTGAGTTGCTCTTTGCGGCTGGCTGCGAATTTCGATGTCGGCGGGTGCCGTCGTGCTGATAAGATATCGATTTTTGTTGTTGGCAGGCGATGACGAGGCGGCGGCACTGCAAGAGGGTCGCCTTTTCCCTCCCCGTCTCATTCACGAAACGTGCAAACTGGAATGCGCGTAAAATGATAAAGCCAGAGGCGAGAGGCTAGATGGAAATTCGCAATCTCAGCGGCGGAACTGAGGTTATAAGCTCTCAAATCTGCGGTGAGTCACCCGGCGACCAGCTACAGAGTCCAAGTGGCTTTGTTTGTGTGTTACAGCAGTCTCTCCTGCTCCAATATGAAATTCAATTAAAGTTTTAATTAAAGATCCGAAGACGTTGCCCCCTCATCGTCGCACTCCACCCCGCGCACGAACAGAGCAGGAGCAGGAGCAGAGCACAGCAAAGCGTTGCCAACGAAACACAATGCGCAAATAGAGAAGCAACATCACGCAATTTCCGATACACTAAAATTTAGTGATAATTACCAAAGTTTTCTGTTTATGATGGTTGCTTCGAATCAAATAATTAAATTGAAGAAATGAACGGTGAAAACTACACGTAGCAACTTTTATTTGCCAAGCGACGACGAGAAGCGAACACCCTGCACGCACACACTCACACGCCCATGAGCCACACTCTAGGGTTGCCTATTACGTTGTTCGAGTCGGACCGGACGCCCTCTGCCTTAGAATTAATTCCCCGATTGCAGAGGATTTCAGAATAGCCAGGATAGTAGATGTACATATTTAGTTTTCCATGTCGGTAAATTACAAATTAGCTGCAGAGAGAGCCATTGCTCCGAAACTTATACGTGGTTAGTGTGCGTCTGTGCGAGTGACGTATGCTTTTTTTCTCCCTTTGAGGTTGGTGAAATGCGACGGCGGCAAGGCCTTGTTTCGCTAAATGCAGTGCAATATTCAGTGTATCCTGCACTAGTGTCAATGAATCCAGGTGGGGATTTGTTCAACTGCACAACACGTTTTATTTACCGATTAATTAAGCTTCTTTTGTGGATTTTTCTTTGATTAAATTTTCTCTGCTGCCAAACACACCACACACCGAATAGTGATGAGAAATTTGATGATGGGAAAAATATCGATATGGGGAATGTGTGGCAAGCGATAAGTATTACTGATTCACTTATCAAGGGGCCAAAGTCGACAAAAATGTTAAAATTATATAATACTTTGACCAAATGTCCGATGAGACGTAAACAAACAATTATAATTAAGGAACTTTTGCAGTTTGAAGTGCCCAAGCCAATAAACAATTCTCGGACGATACATTTTGGGCGATTTCCAATACTATTATCCACAAACTCCCCACAGCGGTGTAAGTTCTATGTGTGCGTGTGTACACTCATACTAGCACACCAACATTGTCCACATTTTGAAGCAAAGAAAGGAAATAAATCCATTGTTTCTCATATACTACCCCTGATTTCGACTAAAAGCACATACGCACCAGCTAATTGAGTCAAATGCACACAAATTTGAGCGGAAATTTTATAAATTTCAGCTTGGAAATGTCGAAAATCACAGAGCAAAATAAAACTTGACCGAGAATTCACTTGCCGTCGAAAAAACTGCAAACTCACCAACATAAACGTTGCCGCATGGCGTGTGTTAGAGTGGGACAACTATGTTGCGGATGGGCCTATGCTGTGAAATGCTGCCACGTCTCTTCTTCTCTCTAGTGCTGGGAAAACTAAAAATATCGAAATGTGCGTATAAAATATATACGCACAAAAATATATTGTTTAATTACATGCGTGTAGAACTATTTAGCTTGGCGCCCCATGTTTTACCCAAAAACTCCGTTCCTGGGCAACAGTTTGCTGGAAGCCGAAATTTTTAAAGTCAATGTGAGGAATCTCCCCCCTACCATGTGCGCTGAAACGATAAGCAACACTGGTTTTCAAATATTTAAACTGTTGATCTTATAATTATGTTTTTCTGCAGTCGGCGGCTTTGTCCCAGCTATTGGAATGGCTCTGTCAGACTCCACGTGTCACCACCTACAGGGTAAACAGACTGCGCACTAATGTGGACACACACAAGACGCAATTGGAGGAGCATCTCGAAAGGCACTATGGCCAGCACGCTCCGGGGATCTATGGCCTGGCGGATCTGCCCGAAGTACTGTGCATAGCTCCACTCGAGGCGGAACTGGTGCTGCGGGTGCCTGATCCCGCGCTTAGAGAGATCATTGTGGACACCAGTTGCGGAGCTGCTCTGCTGCGGGGAGCTCACATTTATGCCCCCGGCGTTCTGGCCATGGAGTCGAACACACAACTGCAGGAATTCGTCAATGTCTACGCAGACTTGGCCGGCAAATGCAAGCGGGGTACAACCACGCGCTACGAGAGTTCGGATAAGGTTTTCGTGGGTGTGGGCAAGGTTCTAATGCAGCGCTACCAACTGTACAATAACAAGGATGCAGCTCCGACAGGCATCGCCGTTGAAATGCAGTCGAATGTCAGTGGCGTGCCCTCGCTGGGCGACCTCAGCAGCGCAGATGCCCTGCTGCAAAATCTGCCCTCTATTGTTTGCGTGCGTGTCTTGGACCCACAGCCTGGTGAGCGCATCTTGGACATGTGTGCTGCTCCCGGCAACAAAACGACTCACATTGCCGAACTAATGGGCGATCAGGGGTGTGTCGTGGCGTTGGATAACTCTGCGAGTCGTGTGCGCGGCATGCTGGCGAAACTGGACAAGTATCGGAGCATACAGGCTCACATCTTTGACTCCACAAAGGCGGTGGCAGCGTCGAGCGATGAGTCTTGCACAGCAGCTCCACCCTTTCCATGCGGCAGTTTTGATCGCATTCTTCTGGATGCCCCATGCAGCGGGCTGGGCAACCGGCCGCAGCTGTTGTGCAGCATAAAGCAGGCCAAGGTCCTGCAGTCCTATCCAAACATTCAGCGTCGCCTTCTGGGGCAGGCTGTCCAACTCCTGCGACCTGGCGGCATCCTGGTCTACAGCACTTGCACCGTTACCGAGGCCGAGTGCGAGGGCATTGTAGCCTGGGCGCTGCGAAAGTATCCCGAGCTACGTCTGATGGATGCCACACCTCGGTACGGTGGTCCCGGCTTGCCACTGTCGGATCTGGAGGCAACGCAATCGCAGCTGCTGCAGCGCTTTGGTCCCTGCAAAGATTTGGACACTGTAGGTTTCTTTATTGCCAAATTTCAAAAATATTAAATGATTATTCAAGTTATCGGGGGTTTATTTAATTGAATTTGAGGTTCCTTTTATGGAAACATTAGCGGAGAGATTTCTATCTGTTAGATCTCTGTAGCATGGACACAAATTTCAGATGAATAAATGAAATAAACCACACATAATGATATTTTGTTTAGATTTCTAAATTTTAAAATGACTTATAGAAGTTACAATTCACATCTATTGTAATGTTAATTATAGTCTACATTTTATTTTAGCATTTCTTAAGACGAGTATTTTCCTGTTTAAATGCAAAACGATGCATTTTTCTCTCTCAAAACTGCCGCATGGAAAGGGTGGAGCTGCTGTGCAAGACTCATCGCTCGACGCTGCCACCGCCTTTGTGGAGTCAAAGATGTGAGCCTGTATGCTCCGATACTTGTCCAGTTTCGCCAGCATGCCGCGCACACGACTCGCAGAGTTATCCAACGCCACGACACACCCCTGATCGCCCATTAGTTCGGCAATGTGAGTCGTTTTGTTGCCGGGAGCAGCACACATGTCCAAGATGCGCTCACCAGGCTGTGGGTCCAAGACACGCACGCAAACAATAGAGGGCAGATTTTGCAGCAGGGCATCTGCGCTGCTGAGGTCGCCCAGCGAGGGCACGCCACTGACATTCGACTGCATTTCAACGGCGATGCCTGTCGGAGCTGCATCCTTGTTATTGTACAGTTGGTAGCGCTGTATTAGAACCTTGCCCACACCCACGAAAACCTTATCCGAACTCTCGTAGCGCGTGGTTGTACCCCGCTTGCCTTTGCCGGCCAAGTCTGCGTAGACATTGACGAATTCCTGCAGTTGTGTGTTCGACTCCATGGCCAGAACGCCGGGGGCATAAATGTGAGCTCCCCGCAGCAGAGCAGCTCCGCAACTGGTGTCCACAATGATCTCTCTAAGCGCGGGATCAGGCACCCGCAGCACCAGTTCCGCCTCGAGTGGAGCTATGCACAGTACTTCGGGCAGATCCGCCAGGCCATAGATCCTCGGAGCGTGCTGGCCATAGCGCCTTTCGAGATGCTCCTCCAATTGCGTCTTGTGTGTGTCCACATTAGTGCGCAGTCTGTTTACGCTTGTACTTGGCTGAAAGAAGGTGAGAAAATTACACTCAATTGCCAGACAACTCAAGCTACTTACCTTTGGTCATTTGGTCAAGTCCAATCGTCTGGGCTGTTGGACACTGTGCTGTAGTTTCCATTAACTGGCTGACTTGCGTTGCCCTTGTAGTCAAGATTGTTGCGTGTTTACGCAGCTTCCTTATGAGTTCTTGAATCGGTAGTTGAATAGTCTCCGTATACTGGGATCAACGTAGAACGAGTGATAGTCATGCGGTTTGGCCAACAGGGCCGGCAGCCGCGACTCGTCTGTGATCCAATATCTCAGCAAGGGGCCGATGAGTTCGTCGTAGTTAATACAACGCATGAACAATTCAAAGGACACGGGATACTGATAGGTACTGCAATGAAAGATGAGAGTTATTACCCACACACAAGAGGTGTACCAGAAAAAGTGATGATGTGTCTTACCTTTCCCAATTGAAAACGACATCAAAGTGGTCCGCGGAGCTCAGCGAGATCGGATGGCTGAATGTGGCACTAAAAAATATCATTCAAAGATAAGCAAAAAAAAAATTAGAAACTGAAAGATCCCAAGACTTGTTTGATTGTTTCTTACCCGGTAGCTGGAATGCTTTTACCTCCTCCCAACAACTTTGTCAGCTGGGCATCAGATAGATCATCACTAAAAATATACGTGAATACTCGAGCTACCGGGAACGCATAAAAGTGCTTATACGCCATCAGCATCCGATCTCCTTGCTGGGTGCCTTCGGGCGCGTTTAATTCCCTGTGGTAAAGCAGCTTCCGCATCTTCCTCGAATCCACGCTCTTTTTGAACGTCTCAAAAGAGACGGGAAAGATGAACTTTCCCTTTCTGTCAATGGTCAAAACAATTAGCCATTAGGGAATTGTGGCATACATTGGGGTTGGGTTGTACGGTACTCACCTTTCCACTTCGACCGTCACACCATTTCCATCATCCTCATCCGATGCTTCCGGCATAGTGAGCAACTTATCCTTCATGGATTGGGGACATGCGCGCACCTTGACCGGGTATCGCTCGCGGATAGTGGCGTCCTTGTAGAAGGCGATGTAAAACCACGTGGCACACCTCCGGCGTTTTCTTCGGGCCATCGCTTTGATCGCTTTGAATTGCGGATGCAATTTCCGGCAGGTTCATTATCAGCGCTTTAAATTGCTCGAACGAGACAGGAGGAGACATGTTGATTTAAAAATTTTAAAAGGCAATCTGTACGGAAGGCAGTACTAAGATCAAAAAACAAAAAGGTCGGTATATACTGGAAAAGTATTTGCTTGTTTAAGTAGATTAGATTTAACTAAATTAATGCAGTATTATATGAATGACAATTATATGGATATTATAATTTATTATTTTTATTAATTTTCATAAATATAAAACAAATATTGTTTTCAAACAGTTTGTCTTCACGGTGTCTGGCACGAGAGGCGTTGCAATCCTCTGCTGCTGATAGTCAGACACATAACCTTGTCAATAAAATATTGGGGAGCCCAGGATATGCCTAGGGAAGAGCGACCACAGCCAAAGAAGTGCATTTTATTAACTTTGATCAAAACCAAGCAGCTCTCTGAACAGTGTAACCGTACGGAATGCAGTGCAAACCTCTGGTCAAACCACTGGCCGCTAGAAGAATATATGACATTTGTTTGCTGGCTTTTGGATTTGTGTGCTAGGCTTATGAGTAGATGGATAAATAAAATAAAAATAAAATAAATAAAAAAATTAATATTGCAATTCTTGCAGTTACCAAACGGGATCGAGACATGTATAGAATCTAATTTAGGTCAAAAGCATGCCAATACAAGTAAATTAATTTTTACCTAGGTTTCAAAGCAGCTTTGAAGCAGCCCTGCCCCCTTCCGCCCCCACAAAGGACGAAAATCTGTGGCAGGCACATTTTTAAAGATACGATAAAACTACAAACGCAGTATCGTAGAAAATGCCCATATCTACCAGACTGCTGAATCTGAATCAGATCGGATCATAATTATAGCCAGAATGACGAAATCAATTTTCAGTTGCTTCCCCTGCCCCCTCCCGCAAACGACAACGCAACTCATTTTCTTTCTCGCTCGCACACTCTGCCGCGTTCAGGGCACGAGCAACCCATAGCGGAGGAGATTTAGAATCTAAATGGTACATGTAGAATATACATGTTAGATGTAGAATATACATAGTATATGTAGATGTAGATAAAAGATGTAGCAAAAAAATGTAAAATGTAAATTTTTTTTTTTATTTTAAAATTAAAAAAAATCATACATATGCTCAAAAATGTAAATACTGACTGAGTACGGGTATAAGTAAAGTCGCGTCCCTATGAAGCGACTCACACGTTCCTTCTCGTTTTGTTTCGTCCAGATTAGCTACAGCCACAGGTTCAGGCTCAGGCTCAGTCGTGACTTCCAATTCTGTGTGTGCCAATCCATCCAATCCTTCGAGTCGGGAAGGTGAGAGAGGAGCAGGCGGAGCTTACCCAAATGGATTTATAGGCGCATTCGCTGTTCCCCGAATCTAATCGAATAATTTGTACTTGGCTGAAATAAGGTGAGAAAATTACACTCAATTGCCAGGCAACTCAAGCTACTTACCTCTCAATCTCGGCTACCCTGGCCGCACAGAGGTCGGTCGTTTCATTTATTTGAGTTTCGTCCAGATTAGCCACAGCCACAGGTTCAGGTTCAGCCTCAGTCGTGACTTCCATGACTGTGTGGATACTTCGATTAGGAACACTATTAAGGGACAGGCGGGATTAGTTTAGGTTGCCCCAATGGCCAAACGGCCAATACTACCTGGCTGCTCGGCGCCTCAAAGACTCCAACCATTTGCTCAAGTCCAATCGTCTGGGCTGTTGGACACTGTGCTGTAGTTTCCATTAACAACATTAACATTAACATGAACAATTCAAAGGACACGGGATACTGATAGGTACTGCAATGAAAGATGAGAGTTATTACCCACACACAAGAGGTGTACCAGAAAAAGTGATGATGTGTCTTACCTTTCCCAATTGAAAACGACATCAAAGTGGTCCGCGGAGCTCAGCGAGATCGGATGGCTGGATGTGGCACTAAAAAATAGCATTCAAAGATAAGCAAAAAAAAATTAGAAACTGAAAGATCCCAAGACTTGTTTGATTGTTTCTTACCCGGTAGCTGGAATGCTTTTACCTCCTCCCAACAACTTTGTCAGCTCACCCTTCCACTTCGACCGTCACACCATCCGCATCCGATGCTTCCGGCATGGTGAGCAGCTTATCCTTCATGGACTTGGGACATGCGCGCACCTTGACCGGGTACCGCTCGCGGACAGTGGCGTCCTTGTAGAAGGCGATGTATAACCGTTTTCTTCGGACCATATACTTTAGTGTTTCCTTTTCTTTTGCGATTGGTTGGGGTTTCTCTTTTAATCGTTTCGTTTTTAAACATCCAATAATTATGTATATAAATTTAAATTAAATTATAGCGTTCTTTTATATGCGATTTGAAAAGTTCGGTTCTTGCAATTTCAACTTCTTGTTTTGTAAACGGACAGAAAGGAGGAGCCTTTTAAGTTATGCGAAGATCTCTGCTCTTGTTGTTGCTGCTGCTGCTGTTGTTGTTGTTCATTCTTGATGACGATTTCCACCGTTTTCCTGTGTCTGTTTTGTCTGTCTGTTGGTTGGTCTTTCTGACGTTGATGCAGGTTCTTTCTGCTTCTGCTTTTCTTGAAATCAAAGTAAGTGTGTATTTATCTTGTTGTGGTTGTAGTTTTATGGTGTGTTTAATTAGCGATTAGCATTCTTCAGCTGATTGGACAACCAGTCGAGTCCCTCGTAGAGTCCATCGCCGCTAGTTGCACACGTCGCTTGAATGTACCAGTTGCGGTTTCTGAGTGAGTGCAAACCGAGCTTGTCGGTAATTTCAGCCGCATTCATTGCATTTGGCAGATCCTACAAAGAATCAACAACAACAAAAATGGGATTACATTAGTATTTTCAATAATTTAAATCAAATATTCTTGACTATAAATTGGCATATCAGTCCCGTCTTGAAACAAAATAAACTTTGAATAATCATAGTATGAATCATAACAAGTTATTAACATCATCTAGGAAGAGTTTCTGGCCCACATAATAAACCAAAGTGCACAGCCAATTGCTCGTATCGGCAGGCATATGCATATGTATGTCTGCAACTGCCTTATCACACATATTCGTTAATGAAACTCAAAATTTGTCACTGCTTTGGTGTGTTATGTGGCGACAACCGATTCGGTTCGTCTCGCACTTCACATGCTTACCTGTTTGTTGGCGAATATTAGTAAGACTGCATCCCGAAGCTCGTCTTCCGCCAGCATGCGCATCAATTCCTCTCTCGCCTCACCAATACGCTCTCGGTCATTGCTGTCAACGACGAAGATAAGACCCTGTAATTAACCAAAAGGGATTCCAATTAGTGGATCTGCATAGAATTGTAGCTAAGGATCTTTTGGGAGTACATATTGACAAATCAGTCCCGTCTTGAAACAAAATAAACTTTGAATAATCATAATATGAATCATTACAAGTTGTTAACATCATCTAGAATAGGAGGGGTCTCTGTTTCGATAGATGCCAAGATCCAGACACTTACTTGTGTATTCTGGAAGTAATGCCTCCACAATGGACGAATTTTGTCTTGGCCGCCCACATCCCACACTGTAAAGCTAATATTCTTGTATTCTACAGTCTCCACATTGAAACCTAGAGAGAGCATCGATGGGGGAAGAGAATAAAACATACAGAATAAGTACCAGAGAATGGTTGTAGTTGCTAGCTATGTAGTTTCACTTACCAATGGTAGGTATCGTTGTAACAATTTCGCCTAATTTGAGTTTGTACAAAATTGTGGTTTTACCAGCGGCATCCAAACCGACCATCAATATTCTCATTTCCTTTTTGCCAAAGAGGCCTTTAAATAGATTGGCGAATACATTTCCCATAGTTGCTTGCTTGTCTTTCGATTCTTTTGATTAAAGGAGAAGGAAATCGGTTCTGCTGCTGCTGTTGGCCTTCTTGCTTGGCTGGAATTATAACAAGTTCAAATCCGAGTTGCAAATGCTGGTGAAAATATGCAAACTCTGGACTTGTGTGCTTGGACTTGGAGAATCTGTAAATGAACCAAATAAAACAGATGTTTTAATGAACCATCAATGCAGGCTATGGCTATCGGTCTGTAAACTGGAACTGATCCGAATGACAAATAAAACAAACGATGTTATGATTGACCTGCCGACTGAATTATTGTCTGGCATTGCCTTTTGTTTGGCTTAATCGTTACCCCCCAAGCTGACGTGTTGATATCTTCCATAACTGAGTCACAACGGACAACGGACATTTTGTAACTCTTGAAAAAGTCCGGCGCTCCTCTCTTCGGAATATCTGACATAGTATAGGTATCATTTTGTTCCCCCTAATTTCAATATGTTTCCCGCTGCTCGTGAGTTGCTCTTTGCGGCTGGCTGCGAATTTCGATGTCGGCGGGTGCCGTCGTGCTGATAAGATATCGATTTTTGTTGTTGGCAGGCGATGACGAGGCGGCGGCACTGCAAGAGGGTCGCCTTTTCCCTCCCCGTCTCATTCACGAAACGTGCAAACTGGAATGCGCGTAAAATGATAAAGCCAGAGGCGAGAGGCTAGATGGAAATTCGCAATCTCAGCGGCGGAACTGAGGTTATAAGCTCTCAAATCTGCGGTGAGTCACCCGGCGACCAGCTACAGAGTCCAAGTGGCTTTGTTTGTGTGTTACAGCAGTCTCTCCTGCTCCAATATGCAATATGCAATTCAATTAAAGTTTTAATTAAAGATCCGAAGACGTTGCCCCCTCATCGTCGCACTCCACCCCGCGCACGAACAGAGCAGGAGCAGGAGCAGAGCACAGCAAAGCGTTGCCAACGAAACACAATGCGCAAATAGAGAAGCAACATCACGCAATTTCCGATACACTAAAATTTAGTGATAATTACCAAAGTTTTCTGTTTATGATGGTTGCTTCGAATCAAATAATAAAATTGAAGAAATGAACGGTGAAAACTACACGTAGCAACTTTTATTTGCCAAGCGACGACGAGAAGCGAACACCCTGCACGCACACACTCACACGCCCATGAGCCACACTCTAGGGTTGCCTATTACGTTGTTCGAGTCGGACCGGACGCCCTCTGCCTTAGAATTAATTCCCCGATTGCAGAGGATTTCAGAATAGCCAGGATAGTAGATGTACATATTTAGTTTTCCATGTCGGTAAATTACAAATTAGCTGCAGAGAGAGCCATTGCTCCGAAACTTATACGTGGTTAGTGTGCGTCTGTGCGAGTGACGTATGCTTTTTTTCTCCCTTTGAGGTTGGTGAAATGCGACGGCGGCAAGGCCTTGTTTCGCTAAATGCAGTGCAATATTCAGTGTATCCTGCACTAGTGTCAATGAATCCAGGTGGGGATTTGTTCAACTGCACAACACGTTTTATTTACCGATTAATTAAGCTTCTTTTGTGGATTTTTCTTTGATTAAATTTTCTCTGCTGCCAAACACACCACACACCGAATAGTGATGAGAAATTTGATGATGGGAAAAATATCGATATGGGGAATGTGTGGCAAGCGATAAGTATTACTGATTCACTTATCAAGGGGCCAAAGTCGACAAAAATGTTAAAATTATATAATACTTTGACCAAATGTCCGATGAGACGTAAACAAACAATTATAATTAAGGAACTTTTGCAGTTTGAAGTGCCCAAGCCAATAAACAATTCTCGGACGATACATTTTGGGCGATTTCCAATACTATTATCCACAAACTCCCCACAGCGGTGTAAGTTCTATGTGTGCGTGTGTACACTCATACTAGCACACCAACATTGTCCACATTTTGAAGCAAAGAAAGGAAATAAATCCATTGTTTCTCATATACTACCCCTGATTTCGACTAAAAGCACATACGCACCAGCTAATTGAGTCAAATGCACACAAATTTGAGCGGAAATTTTATAAATTTCAGCTTGGAAATGTCGAAAATCACAGAGCAAAATAAAACTTGACCGAGAATTCACTTGCCGTCGAAAAAACTGCAAACTCACCAACATAAACGTTCAACGTTGCTGCATGGCGTGTGTTAGAGTGGGACAACTATGTTGCGGATGGGCCTACGCTGTGAAATGCTGCCACGTCTCTTCTTCTCTGTAGTGCTGGGAAAACTAAAAATATCGAAATGTGCATATAAAATATATACGCACAAAAATATATTGTTTAATTACATGCGTGTAGAACTATTTAGCTTGGCGCCCCATGTTTTACCCAAAAACTCCGTTCCTGGGCAACAGTTTGCTGGAAGCCGAAATTCTTAAAGTCAATGTGAGGAATCTCCCCCCTACCATGTGCGCTGAAACGATAAGCAACACTGGTTTTCAAATATTTAAACTGTTGATCTTATAATTGTTTTTCTGCAGTCGGCGGCTTTGTCCCAGCTATTGGAATGGCTCTGTCAGACTCCACGTGTCACCACCTACAGGGTAAACAGACTGCGCACTAATGTGGACACACACAAGACGCAATTGGAGGAGCATCTCGAAAGGCGCTATGGCCAGCACGCTCCGGGGATCTATGGCCTGGCGGATCTGCCCGAAGTACTGTGCATAGCTCCACTCGAGGCGGAACTGGTGCTGCGGGTGCCTGATCCCGCGCTTAGAGAGATCATTGTGGACACCAGTTGCGGAGCTGCTCTGCTGCGGGGAGCTCACATTTATGCCCCCGGCGTTCTGGCCATGGAGTCGAACACACAACTGCAGGAATTCGTCAATGTCTACGCAGACTTGGCCGGCAAATGCAAGCGGGGTACAACCACGCGCTACGAGAGTTCGGATAAGGTTTTCGTGGGTGTGGGCAAGGTTCTAATGCAGCGCTACCAACTGTACAATAACAAGGATGCAGCTCCGACAGGCATCGCCGTTGAAATGCAGTCGAATGTCAGTGGCGTGCCCTCGCTGGGCGACCTCAGCAGCGCAGATGCCCTGCTGCAAAATCTGCCCTCTATTGTTTGCGTGCGTGTCTTGGACCCACAGCCTGGTGAGCGCATCTTGGACATGTGTGCTGCTCCCGGCAACAAAACGACTCACATTGCCGAACTAATGGGCGATCAGGGGTGTGTCGTGGCGTTGGATAACTCTGCGAGTCGTGTGCGCGGCATGCTGGCGAAACTGGACAAGTATCGGAGCATACAGGCTCACATCTTTGACTCCACAAAGGCGGTGGCAGCGTCGAGCGATGAGTCTTGCACAGCAGCTCCACCCTTTCCATGCGGCAGTTTTGATCGCATTCTTCTGGATGCCCCATGCAGCGGGCTGGGCAACCGGCCGCAGCTGTTGTGCAGCATAAAGCAGGCCAAGGTCCTGCAGTCCTATCCAAACATTCAGCGTCGCCTTCTGGGGCAGGCTGTCCAACTCCTGCGACCTGGCGGCATCCTGGTCTACAGCACTTGCACCGTTACCGAGGCCGAGTGCGAGGGCATTGTAGCCTGGGCGCTGCGAAAGTATCCCGAGCTACGTCTGATGGATGCCACACCTCGGTACGGTGGTCCCGGCTTGCCACTGTCGGATCTGGAGGCAACGCAATCGCAGCTGCTGCAGCGCTTTGGTCCCTGCAAAGATTTGGACACTGTAGGTTTCTTTATTGCCAAATTTCAAAAATATTAAATGATTATTCAAGTTATCGGGGGTTTATTTAATTGAATTTGAGGTTCCTTTTATGGAAACATTAGCGGAGAGATTTCTATCTGTTAGATCTCTGTAGCATGGACACAAATTTCAGATGAATAAATGAAATAAACCACACATAATGATATTTTGTTTAGATTTCTAAATTTTAAAATGACTTATAGAAGTTACAATTCACATCTATCGTAATGTTAATTATAGTCTACATTTTATTTTAGCATTTCTTAAGACGAGTATTTTCCTGTTTAAATGCAAAACGATGCATTTTTCTCTCTCCTTCGCCTTCCAACAGGCGATTACACATTTATATTTATATATATAATTTAATTAATTAATTACTATATAATTAGGGTGTTTTTAAGGATTATGGTAAAAAGAATACCATGGCCTTGGCCTATCTCTGGGTCGGGTTCTGTTTCAATAGCATAAAATCATAGAATCCCTTCCATCCGATCCCTTCCTTCCTTTAGTTAATAAGTCGCCCCCGCAATTGATTGATCAAATGTTATCTATATGTATATGATTTTGTCGTTTGTTTATTGGTTGCCGTTCAGCTTAGCTTCTGACTTAATTATTCGTTTGGCTAATCCCCAAATGGTTTTTCGTCACCACAATAAAAATTGTTGGCAAATAATCCGTGATATGAAAGAAAAGAATAAAAGGAACAAAACCAAAGTGCAGTTTAGTCCTGGGGATGTCCCCAAATGTCATTAATTAGTGGGTGTTCTCGGGAATGTCCTATCCTAAACGAAGCCGTGCAGGTGTAACGGCCCGTGTTCTCTCATTCTATATATGTAGTATGTATATCGGGGCTTAGGGGCTACGCCTAGTGCTAGGTTAAGAGACTATTAACATGTTTTTACGTCGGGATATTGAGGGTCTTGAACTGCTCTTCGTTCATCTCAGTCATCATAAAAGTGCCATCCTGTAGCAGCAAAACGACGCGACGAGTGCCCCCTGAAAAAAGTTGGGCAGGACATTATTAAACAGTAGATGGATTATTGGTATTATTATAATTACCAGGTGATGGCAGATCCGCTTGCACTACTTCGGCTGGGATTTGGGACTCGGTGCCATCGCTGTCGGAGGTTGTGATGTGAATTTGAGCTGTGACCGGTGTTCCCGTGCCGGTGCCAGAACTCTCCTGCTGGAGTGCAGCTGCCCGATGTTGGGCCAGGTCCTCCTCGGTCATGGAGACAAATACTCCCTCGCCATCGGATGTTGCTGCTGCAGCAGATTGTTCCCCAGCTTGGACAGCCTCTGCCACGGCATGGTCTAGCGAAAGCACATCCTGATCGTCCCCTTCAGCGGCGGCCACATACGCAAATTGTTGCTCGCCATCCGGACCCTGGGTAACCAGTATGGTCTGCCCCTCGGCATTCTTGCCAGCCACCTGGTAGACGGTGCCGTCTTCACCTCTTACCAGCAGTGCAGAACCGTCTTCGTTGGTCAGCACCTGCTGATCACCGCCCAAAAGCGCATGCGCTGCCTCCAGCTGTTCACGCTGTTCCTCCTGCATCTGCTCCTGCTCGGCCTGCAGCTGCGACTCTTCCTGGCCAATCAGCTTGCCCGTGATGGGGCACAACTGGGCCTGATGCTGGTGCAACTCCTCCTCCAGTTCCAACTGGAGGGGCGTGGGCTGTGGCGTTGGCTTGGGCGCTATCCTTTGCCGTTGCCCTGGTGCCAGCACCTTTTGTAGCTGCGACTGGGATGATTGCTGGGCGTGGGCATGTCGTTGCTGGCGAGCCTGGGCCTGGCGCTGAGCAATAAGTTCTTCCCGGGTCACCAGCTTTCGAGTGACCTTCAAGTCTCCAGACTTGGACAGCTGCAGGATCTTCTGCTCCGGTGTGACCACTTTGGTGGCAGCTGCTGGCGACGCTTGATGCCGTTGCTGTGGCGTTCCAGGGCCAGCGCGTGCCAGGGGCCGGCCGCCAGGATGTGCTCTCGTCGGTAGCTGTGCGCGTGTCTGTGGTGTGCCACCCAATGGGCGACGTTGCACCGTCGTTGTTATTGGACCGCCCTGACCAGGGGGCCTTATCACCTGCTGACGCTGGCTGACAGTCACAGGCGAACTGGAATTGGAGTGTGCGGGGCGTGCCACGCTCAATCTCTTGGCTATGCCTCCTCCTGACACAGGCGTGGCTGATGCGCTACTGGCGCTGGTCTTATGTGCGGCGGCTGCTGGTGTGACGGGGGCTGTCGGCTCCGAGTGCTCAACGCGGAAGACCCCTGTATTATTGCTGGCTATTTCCGAGCGGGTCAAATAGCGTACAGGACACTCTACTTTGTCTTTTTTCTGTAACGGATTGAAGTTCGATTTATTGTTGTTTTTTTTTTTCAGAGATAATCTCATCATTTATTTACCAATAGCAGGGTGTTTGGCATCTCGGGTTTACGAAACATCCCAGAGCTGGTGGTGTCGTCCGTGTAGATGATCTCGCCCATTTTGTTGCTTTCCGCTCCGGACGTAGCAGAGTTTCCATTGATTTTGGATGTCGCCTGTCTATCAGCCGACTGGACACGCGACTTGCTCTGCTGCACGGAGCTACCGCCGTTTTTTAAACGCTTCACAGTGTGTGCGGGCAGATCTTCTTCGAGATCCTCCATTTCCGCCGACTCATTCACTGTGGTATCCTCAATACTGGAATCAGTTTGATTCAGCTTGCGTTTGGCAGGACCTGACGAGGCGGCTGCCCATTCCTGCTCGTTGGCGGATTCATCGTCATTACCCGAGGAGGGCGATGAGGAACCATCGCCACCGGCAGTATCGCTCACCCATTGTTTGAACGCATCCATGGCTTTGGTTTTGGAAGTGCGCGATGGTCGAGAGGTGGGCGACACCTGTGCCTGCGGCTGGGCTGGACTGAGTGGAGCTGTGGTATCAGATTTCGATGAGGGCACTGGATTCTGCAGACGCTTCAAGGCATCCAGCCCCTTCTCTCTGGTCAGTTTTTGACGCGCCAATTGCTTCTCAAACATTTGCAAGAAGAAGGGCACACTCTCGAGATTGGACATCACCTCCCAGGTATTCTCATTATGCGAACGATCCACCCATTTAACCAAATACTCGTGAGTCTTGCGTCTCGGATTGAAGCGTTTGGCGACAATCTTTTCCACCGCCTCTTCGGTGCGCTGCTCGGTCTTGGAATCAATACGGGTGGCTATGCGATTGTTCGGTTTGACAGCACTACCACTCGATGCAGTGGTTGTTGCTGGTAGGGTTGGGGTTCCTGGCTTGGATATGGGCCGTTCGTTCTCAATGTCTTTCAGCTGGTTGGACACGATTGGTAGCTTATTTGCTGGCGATTCTGAAAAGAAGACTTGAGTTTTTTAGACGATCTCGCCATTCTAGTCACATTGAAAGAATGTTGCTGGTTACCAACATTAAATCAACCACGACTATGCTTGATTATGCTTTTGTTTTGAATACACGGGTTTTACACATACTTCTGGTTGGCGATACGCTTGTGTTGTTGTTGCTGTTAGAGGTGTTGTTATTGTTGTTGGGATTCACAACCGTCTTGGTAATGCGCACTGGCATATCCTGCAGCTGTCCATGTGCAATCTTGCCAAAGGACTGTATGGTCTTGCCAGCCACAATCCATGGTTCCCTCACGCTCTCCTCGAGCCTCACCCAATGCTGGTACATGGCCCACGAGTTACTCGTACTCGATTCCTTGCGGGCATGCAACTGTGTGGCCTTCCACAATGAAAAGGCCCAGATTGATGGCTTTGTGTCCAGCGAGTCCTTCAGGTTTGCATTCTCCTTCTCGCAGGCATCTTCTTTGTGCGCCTGAAACTCCTCGACAAAGTTGTAGGCCTTCAGGCAGCGTCCACACACGAGAACATCCATGTTTGCCAGATCCTCCTGGGCAGCTGGGCGAGTGAAAGCAAAAGGAGTTACTTGAATTGCTTGCCATTTTTCTGCCATTTTTTTTTCCTCCACTTACCTCCGATAATGTTTGCGTGCTTGCCAATTTCCGTCGGTGCTATCTCCTGTGCCAACATTATACACAACACCAAAGCCTACGGTTCTGTCGAATATTCATTTAAAATCGCAATTAAATATCTATTATTTATTTATTTGTTGTTTGCTTTTTAAAACGGAACAGCTAACAGGGGAAGGAAAAAGTACAGTGCCGTGGTGTATTTGTCTTAGCATAGGTGGCAACCCCAAATGTCTGCGGTGTGTGCCCAGAATGGTGGGTTTCTCTAATGCAGCGGCGCGGCGCCTTGGTTACAACGAGCCAAAATACACAAAAAATGCACTACAATGCAGCGGAGCCGGGCTCACACAGAAAAGGGAAAGGCAATGGGGAATTAACGAGGGTACACAGAACAGGGCATTTAAAATTGTTTATATAAAAATAATCATTTTTTCAATTTTAAATTTCGTTTATTCCTCCATCATATTTCACGTGTTTTATTATGCTTGCTTTATAAAAGATCGCAATTGAATAGTTGTTTCATGTAATTCACATTTTTTAATATGTATACTGATTCCCGCTCAAATTGCACACCAGGCTATGTTTGCCATGTCTCAACTTTTTGCGTTGATCTGGGTCCCACATAAATCAATAACAAATGCACCCACTTTTTCACCGTAATATTTACACACCTTCATAAACCAAATCGATTTGCAAATTAAAGTTTATATTCTTTTTGAATGTTAATCTAACTGTTTTCTCCAAATTTCAACACGCGCAGCTCTCCTCTCGCCTTCTATTGCCCGCGTGAACTCTGAATGCCAAAAGAAACTGTGTCTGGTTTCACGGAATACAGGCCAGCGATGCTTTGGCTGCGGCCAGGGTGACTTTTGTATGAGCTCTTTTTGAGATATTTGCGAAATGACCTATTTGGTAAATTATTTCTGGGATTGTCGTATCCATTAAGTGAATCAATTTCAACACATATTTTGCTAGCCTGTCACAAAACTCTTACACGTGCGTACTTTCTTCTGTAGTTTCACAAATAATGCAGAGCTTCAAATGCCCGACCAAGAGTGTAGTGGACCTTTCCGTTCGTACACATAAATTAGCACTTGCTAAGCCAATCGCGTGGCGTGGTGAGTTAATTTACCGATATGGTAACTTTGTGCACCCTGATGTTATTCAATAAATTTAAATTAAATATTTTAAATCTCAAGATTGCACCCTGTTAATATTTGTATAATTATAGTTGTAAAATTGGCGTAGTGTAAATAATTTACCGACTAATTTGGATGGGTAAAATATTTAACCAATGCAAGGATTGGCAACCCTCGACGTTATGTTTTGGCGCTGCCTCAGTGTGTACACACTTTTATGCATGTTTTAAACAGCGTAGAAACTTCCGTTTTTAAGGTAAAAGATATCGTGGTAAATATCTTTGTAAGCAAAGTAAATGATAAATATACAAGGATATTTTAAATGTTTAAGTAGAACGGGGTATGGTGGGTTAAATTCCTCTTTCCCTCGGTATATTATGAAAATGAGAAGGTATATTTTGGTATATTTCTGAGGTTCCAGTCAAATCACATATTTATCTTTCAATATATTAAGATATATCTTAAATTGAGATTGAAGTGAGTAGGTGAGGGAGGGTGCAGAGCTCACACGCTTGTGTGATTTTATTTAAAAGAACCACAAAACTTAAATCACACTAAGATGAGTAATAAATAAAAACGGAATATCAAAATCGAGGAATAACAACGCATCTTATCGTGTCCGTCAGTATATTTACGGTATATTATTTAATTAATAATATACTTTTCAAAGTGACCGCCAAACTCCATTTAGCGCATTTTTCTTCTTGCGAAACAAATTTTTTTCTTCTTCTTCTTTTTAGCGGATTTTTTTTAGGGCTGCCAGGTTAGTTTAAACGGGTCACAAAATATCATGGTATGGTAGCCCACAGCAACTACGAATTGCACCAGTCTGGCAACGCCACAAAGTGACGTCACATTCGTTTTATGTTGTTTTTGTTTGAACCTTAATATGTAAATAATCCAATAAAAAGGACTTCTGAAAACTTGCCAATCTTGTAGAAAATTTATGTATCTATCGGATAAAATTATTTGCTTAGGGCTGAGTGGGTTAACTAACTAGTAATATTAAACCGAATATCAAAATTATGGAATACGATTTCAATCAATAAAATTGAACGTTAACCCATTGTCGACCAGAGGGCTATTTAATATTTCCACGAAATTTATATAACTTTAACATATTTTACGCATTACAGGTGAAAGATGTCGGTGGTCATTTTTGTTTTTTAAGTAAAGAGGAGGATGGAGCTACAAGGATCCTAAACAGAAAGTATTATTTTCCGCGGTTGTTAAAGGGTTAAAGGGTGCTCGACTTTTTAAATAAAGAGGTGTTAAGGGGGTTAAGTCTCGTTTGATCGCCGCCCTGGTTTTCTGCCCTGGCTATGGAAATACAAATTAAAAAACAAAACAAGAAAATTAAGTAAAATATCATGGCTGACGACGACCGAGATGATCAGAAGGAGTACCGCTGGGAGACGGGATATGAGAAGACATGGTAACAATATTGTTTAATAAATTATAAATTTCTTTCAACTCAACTCAATGTGGTGCAACTTTTCAGGGAAGCCATCAAGGACGACGAGGATGGGCTGCTGGATGGGGCAATCGCGGATATTATCCAGAAGGCCAAGCGTCAGCGGCAGGCGCAAAAGGCAAAACAGAATCGTCTGGGAATGATGCGCCACCTATTCATCATACTCGACTGCTCCGAGTCGATGAGCGTGCCCGATCTGAAGCCCACGCGGCTACGCTGCACCCTCAAGCTGCTGGATCAGTTCATCGAAGAGTTCTTCGACCAGAACCCCATTAGCCAGATGGGTATTATTGCTCTAAAAGCGAAGCGGGCTGAGAAAATAACCGAACTGACCGGCACCTCGCGGGTGCATCTTAAGGCACTGGAAGGGTAAGTAAAGGCTTAGTACCACACATGCCATGGCCATCGTTTTAATCCTTTCGTTTGTCTTAGCCTAGCCAATGTGCCATTGACCAGCGAGCCCTCGCTGCAGAACGGCTTGGATTTGGCATTGAAAACGCTCAAAGTTGTGCCCTCGCATGCTTCGCGGGAGATTGTCATCGTGATGGGCTCCCTCACCACCTGTGATCCCGTGGACATTAATCTAACTATCGATGAGCTGAAGAAGGAGGGCATACGCTGTTCGGTCATCTCATTGTCGGCAGAGATTCATATTGCCCGCTATTTGACCCAACAGACAAGGGGAACATTCGGCGCTGTCCTGGACGATGCTCATTTTCGGGATCAACTTATGTCGCAGGTGGATCCGCCGCCTGCGGCCAAGACGCAGCACAACTCCCTCATCCGTATGGGCTTTCCGCACTCCAAGAACGAGGTGGAGGGCAAGGATGCACCGCTCTCGATGTGCATGTGCCACATAGAGAATCTGGAGGAGCCCAGCGAGCTCTGCACCACCGGACACCACTGTCCGCAATGCAATAGCAAGTATTGCGAACTGCCCGTCGAGTGTCAGTCGTGTGGTCTCACGTTGGTCTCGGCGCCACATCTTGCCCGCTCGTACCACCACCTGTTCCCGGTGCCCAACTTTGATGAAATTCCGTTCGAGTCGTTGCCGAAAGCCTCCTCGGATCGTGGCGGCACCGGAACCACGGAATGCTACGCCTGCATGAAACTCTTTGTCCCAGTCGCAGACAAGACGGTTTTCAAGTGCGGCTTCTGCAAGCAGTTCTTCTGCCTCGATTGTGACATCTTCATTCACGACACCCTGCACGCCTGTGTGGGCTGTAACACCATTCCAGGCGTCGATGGACTGGTCTACCAGCAAAGCTCCAAGTCCGTCTCGGACTCTCACCAGCAGCAGGCGCATGATGTGCACCCAGGGACGTCCAAGCAGCGTGTACAGTTCAACATTTAACTAACCATTCGCGCATATCTCATCATCTGCACTGTAAATAGTTCCTTAACTAAAAAAACTCCATCGTAGCATAGGGCGTATACACACACACACACACACACACACACACACCGACCGATACAGTTCAATTCATGTTCGTTCGTGTTTTGCTTCATTATAAAAAGTTTGCTCTTTTTGGTCTGGCTAATAAACGTGAAGGTGAACTAAACGCAGAATCTATATGGCTGTGCCCATTAACATTCATAGTTAATTTTTTGCTTGTTTGCTGCTGCGATTCACGGATTCACTGTGCCAACCGGGCGGACTTTTGTCTAGACTCTAGAGCCCGCTTGAGTTCATCGCCAGCGCTCGAAGCATTCGGTTGGGTTGTGTTTTTTATATTTTCTGTTTTGTTTTGTTTTCGTTTGATTTGATTCCAAAGCTCTCGCGGCTTCCACAGGTGTTCTCTGTGATCTGTTTGTTGTCTGACGTCTGAACAAGGTACGGAGTAATAATAATAACGCGTTGGTGTGTGAAGAGTCAAGAGCCAGCCCAGAGCCCCTGAGCCCCGACCCCCAGAGAGTTTTGAGTTTGTTTTGGAGTCCGAAGCAGAGATAATACATATGCGTACTCTATGGCACCCATAAATAATTATGGCGCTGCTTTAAACTAGTATTTAACTGGTTTCATCTGAGTCAAACCACCAACATCATTGATCAATTTATTACGGGTTGAAAGCTGATTTGAATGAAGAGTTTCGAGTGAGACACTGGCATGCAGGTCCTAAAACTTGCACAGTTCTAAGACAATATATTGGACTTGCCTTTATTAAGCTTGGATCTGTAATATGTATGTACATCTGAAATATAGATTGCCATAGCCATTGAAAAACTGTACTTACCTTCTGTGTCCTTCCCAGTTCATTTGTTGTAATATTCGTTCATTGAAGCTGATTTAAAACGCAAATCGCAGTTAAACGACTGGCAGACAGACAGCCCAGTCTATCCAGTTAATTACCGACTATCCCAGTAGCATACCTGCATATACCCCACTTATTTCCACACATGCTCGTACCGAGTAGTATTCGCGGAATAAAGACATTTCCGCGTTGTGGGGCCAAACAATAAAAAAGTCAAGCGAGAAATCACAAATCGCCCCGTGATAATTGTGTGTGAAAGTGGAATGAATCAGATAAAAATAAATAAATATCACTCTCGTTTTTGTCAATGGTCTTGTGACAATTCGCGACAATTAAAAGCATATTGTGTCAGGGCCTAATTGAAGCACCAAGAAATTCGTGGGCGCTTCAGGTCTCTACCATCTACCATCATCATCATTTGGAAAATTGCATAGGCAAATATTTTGCACAGAAGGCAGAGCGAGGAGTAGGCGGCGTCTATGAAATGAACGCTGCCCGAACGCTAACCGAAATTTGGTCGTAATAATAATTTATGCAGAAATAGCCTGAAAGTGTGTTCTCTAATTTACGAGGCTTGTTGGCCAAAAGGAAACAAGGAAAAGCCAAAGGGAGGCGGCCGTCGTGGCAGACTTTGATGCTGAAAACTTTTCTGCGGCTAATCACTTGTTAAGTAATTTGTTACGGCATGTTCGGTAGCAAAAGGGTTGGATCCCGGCAGCGCCCAGCAACGCAACCCATGTAGAAACATCCCACCATCGATGGATTGGTATTTTCCCTGGGGCAAAGTTATTTGCATTGTTTAGAAGTTAGTTGGGGAAATTGTTGTGAATATTAATATAAATACACTCTCTTGCAATTTGCAATCACTGATTAAAATATGATGTCTGCGAAATTGACTTCAAAAGCTACAACTAATTTGCGAATTCAAGAGATGAATAATTACACGAGTAGCACATACATAGTATGTACATATGTACATACCTCAGAGGCAATCAAATACTTAACATATAAGACGGAAGTTATGCAAGTCCCATTAGCAGTTTCGCTTTCTGGATGGGCTGGGATGGGCTTGGCCCCAGCCCCTCCATGTGATGTCGAGCCCATTTCTGGTGGGGTCTGGGTTTAATTTTAAATATTGCTAAATGAATAAATTAATTGAATAAAGGGGCAATCCAATTAGCAAGTTTTCAGCGTAAATGAGAAATGGTTTCTTGTATCGAAATATAATTTAATTAATATCAAAACACCAGCCGACTCTACAGTGCAGTTGTTTGGGCTTGGGGGATTGTTTATAAATACATTACATTAATTTACTCACAAATAGATATTAATCATTCTAGTGGTTGTTTTTTTTTATCTTCTGTGCATCATACAATTTTTAAATTATTAACAATCTATGAAAAGCCACAAACAAGAATTCCGCTTTCATTTCTCAAAACAAAACAAAAACACATCATCAACAGACGGAAAATAGCTTCCGGCCAATTGAAATGAAATTGATAATCCTATTTCCCGCCACCCACCACCCCCCACCCATCCATCGCATTCATTCAGCTATCCATTCAGTCCATCCTCCTTCCAACGTACAGAAAAAATATGACAAGGATTTAACAAAAACGAGAAGGAACGTGTGAGTCGCTTCTGGGGACGCGACTCTACTGATACCCGTACTTAGTCAGTATTTACATTTTTGAGATAATTTTTTAGAATTTTAGAATTAAAAAATAAAATTTTAAATTTTACATTTTTTTTTGCTGCATATGTTACCTACATCTACTGTGTATATTTTCTAATATACCCCTTAACTCTTTTTTGAGTACGGGTATAAAAACATTAAATAAACCTCGATTAATGTCGGTAAATGGAGTTTTTTCTTCTTTCTTTCTGTTTTTTTTTTTTTTGTTGGCTTACCTCCAAACGCAATTATGCAATAAATGCTTCACAATGTTTGCACAACTTTTTAATTATAAATGTTGAATTACTAATTTGCGAATGCGGCGCCGAATGCAAATCTGCGAACGGCTTGAGGGAGTGCAAGCCCAGCCCCCGTCTCTCTGTACTAAAGGTATATGTATACTTTAGTTAGTAGCTGCAGTTTAATTGCAGCTTACAACGGGCGGTGATAGCCTTAACCCGTTTTCCATGAAGCGTGGCCGCACCACCTGGGCTAAAACCGAACACCGCCCGGGAAAACACCAATGCAGCAGGCGTTGGGGCTGTGGTGTCTGCCATTTGAGCGTTTGAAAAACTTTAGGAGTTACGCACTTGCAGCATTGCAACAGATGGATACTTATTGGGGCAATTCGCATATTTAATCTGGCAATAGATTCGAATTGAAAGATTATTTCCATTCAGGCACATGATCAGATAAGTCGGCAGTTGGCTGATCTATGTATATGAAAGGCTTCTAGGGTTAATACAGCTTTGGCAATGCCATGCTATTAAGAGATGAAATAACTGTAAGCAGATCTATTGCCATTACGCTCTGACACCCGGCCTGCATCATCTGATCATCAATGCTCGCTCATCTGGTTATTGGTTTCCCCTTTATCTTCTCCTTCTCCATCTCCATCGCCTGCCTGGCTCTCTGTCTGCGGTTACAGATCTTAATTGCAGTTTGTTTAGCGTAATAAAGGCCGCACAGCCGTGTGCGCTGGCAGCAGTTCGTGTTCAATAAATGTAATCTTTTTTTGTCCCTTCGCTTTCGGTTCGATCTCGGGGTTTTATGTATAAAATAAGGCGCGAATGATAAACGGATAATACTTCGATTAAAGTGCCGTCGCGTGACTGTCGTTTGTGTTGGCTTTTCTGTAATCTTACGCGGAGTTGCCTGCTGCTGCTCTACCATATAATAAAATACGAAACGAATCTGCAACGGAGGGTACTACGGTAATTCCACCACGTTTATTCCGGTTTCAGAGAGTTTTTATATACATGGGTCTCTCCGAGAGACCTTTGCTTTGCTTTTTTTATTCAAAATTTTGGTTATTCTTTTTGTTTTTTTTTTTGCATTTTTTATTCACATTTTCGGATCTTGCTTATTGTTTTTATTGGACTTTCCTTTTGATTTTGTATTCCACGCATTTGTGTCATAAATGACATCATTTAAAGTTCTTTTTTTTATTGTACAAAGAGAGATGTACACGAACATATACATACATACATATGTATATATGTATGGATATTGAATTGTATATCTGTAGTGCTTTTTATTGTTTTGTAGTTTGTATTTTCTGTCTATACATTGGAAGGTCACCCACAATCCCATCATTAACGACTTAAAATTAGAAGTGGAGCCTCTGCTTAATGCTGATCCATTCCAACCGTATTAATGATCATTCATTTGGCTTTAGCCTAAAACCAGTTCCCTTCCGGCACTGTGATTTATGGAGAGAACCTCCTCAAAGTACTTGCTATCACTGCAAAAACACCAAAGCACAAAAACCCTCTTCGAATATAAACCCAATGATAACGTGAAAAGAAATAGGCCTCATGGCAACTGTGGAGGTGGGGGGTGCACACAGAAACCACAGAAACTGACCGATAAAATAATACTGACAGGGTTTACACAAGTGAAGATTTCGTTGTGTTTCGGCCAATATAGAAAATCTCCATCAACTGATTGCCATATAAATATTGTTCTGAGAATAGGAGCCACGAGTCGTGAGCCAAGCATTTCCAATTGGAAATATGTGCACTAAATATAAACGATATCTGAATGGGGGCTTACATTGTAATCGCTGACTGGTGATAACCTACCATTGCAAGTACACTTGGAGAACGATTACACGGATTGGGGCTCTCGGTATTCCATTTGAGTTGGTTTTTAGCGCGCACCCCCCCGACACACACACAAACACACACAGATTCCCATCTCCATAATTAGCCCGGCTGAGTAACCCTTGCGACTGCGTTTGCATTGCGAATGTCAAGTCAAGAAAAGTTCCGTTCCCCACTGGAACCCCAAGCAGAGCAGTCAAATAAAAAATGCAAGCGCATGCGGCGGGGCGGGGCGGGCCGGGGCGGCTTCAAAGTCACAAACAATTTGCAAGCCACACTGAGCACTCAACAAGCCGCATTAAAATACAGCCCATTGTTGTGGCAGCCATCTCCCGGACTTCCCCCGACTCCCCCCACAATCCAATGCTCACCTGACAACCAGCTAATAAAAATTGTTAATATTATAAAGTACCACGGCACAATGTTCTACTCCAGTCAAACTGAAACTTTTCGAAACAAAAAAAGCAAAAACAAAAAACAACAACAAATAAAAATGGCCATTCATATTCGAGTATAATGCGCGTAGCGTTTATTGTGCATACAACATTTAGGCGAGGATTCTCCAGGCGAGTTCAGTGACTCGCGGAGTGTAATAAAGAGGCAGGCTAGGAGGGGGGCAAAAGTAATCTCCGTAATTATAGATGGGTGAATGGGCAGCGTTCTCTACCGTTTGGGTCGCGAAAATAGATGGCTGCTATCAGTCCGCCTGGAAAAGATATCGTTTTTGCAACAATTTATTTTGGCGTTCTGCTGGCACTAGAAAGGCAGTATGTAGTACTACAACGAAACACTCTTCACTTATCACAGCCAATTCACTGTCTCTTCATTTGGACATTCTTCGTGTCAACACAGACGCCGACATCCTACCGGACAGATAACGCCCACCCCCGTGCCATGTTCTGTGCTGTAGATAATGTGTGGCAAACTGGGGCGATATTCATAGTGTCTCCCTCTCACTCTCACTCCCCACTCCCCATTCCCGCTATCATTCCCTCGCTCTCTCTCCGGTTATCATGGGAATATCGCTGAGTCGAGCCATGTAGAGTGCAGCTATTAGCCTGGCTCTTATCTCGAGGAGTCTTGCCGAATGGATGGAGGGCCTACTTTAATTGCATCAGATACTCGTAGACGATTTAGACGTATGAAATTATATGGCCCCGCAGGCCGACTTTGCACTAAGCCAACGCATGGAGTGCCTTCTGCTACGTCAAGAATTCTCGGGCGATTAATCTCCAGAAGTGTCAGGCCACAAGCGAAAGATAATATAGCTATGAACGAATATACATATACATACATATATTCGAGAACTCAGGCGATTATACTTAAAAATTTTCGGTTAATTTTTATGGACCGTCTGGGTGGATGTTATAAACCCCCCCAACTGATGCCATCTACCACTACAGGAAAGATGAAATAAAATTGGCAAAAATATTTATAATTCACACAGGATTATTGTGGGCCATAAAAAGGAATTGCAAAATGCGTAAATAACTATTTATGGAGCGTGCTTCAAAACCAGTGCAAGGGCCATATAAATGGACCTCTCGATTAGGCAAAAATTCCTGGGCAGAATGTCTGCAACGGGAAGTCGTAAAGCTCAACCGTCCACCGGTTGAGCGATGCGATCATAAATTAAAGCAGGGCAAACAAATATCGTACAATGTTGGACAGGACTCATAAATCAATTGGGCCACATGCACTGTGCACCCCCCAGCCAAAATCCCCAAAAAGAGATATCGGCTTCATATTTGATCTACGAAGTAGGCGAAATTCGTTGTTGGTGTTGTTGGTGTACAGGGGATATGATTATCCATGGGGACTTAACAGCACCCCATGCTGCGAAAAAGGTGTGAAAATGTTTATCAAAGAGTTTGCTCAATGGGAAGATCAAATATTTGCTAGTAATCGAACATAAATTAGCAATCAATTAGGCCATCTTACGGCCGGTGACTGTGATTTGATTTGTTGATCAAACCAAAGTGACGTCACAGAGCGATGCTACTGACGTCAAAATGAAGTGTTAACTGAATGTAGAGTGGAGTGGCACCACTCTGTGTGGAACAGACAGTCGCCAAATAGAGACGTTTGGGATATCGTTAGGTTAGTCACAAATTAGATGCCACCACCACCACCCACCCACCGCTTGAAAGATTTCAAATCTCAGCTACGAGTTTTTCGTATCTGTGGGATATGCTTCAGTTGTTGCGGGGGTGGGGGCGGGGCGGGTTTCATCGTGTTGCAGCAAACTAGGCCTACTACTTACATATATACCTATATACCTACTATAGACCAACAAAACGAGATTTTTTAGATGTTTTGCGGCGGCTTCGTTGATTTGTTTTTCAAGTTTGACTAGACCCCACAGCCACAGCCACCGCCACCGCCACCGCCGCAGGCCATAGCCAATAGCCTCAGACCCAGCCCCAGCCCCAGACCCAGCCGGTCTCCGCGTGGCTGCTGCCACACTGCTTTGAGCCGAGCTTTTCACTCGAGAAGTATTTTTGACAAGTCATTGGTCTGGCCCGAGGCTGCGTCTCCGTTTGCGTCTCTCTAGGCAGACCATCGCGTTTTTTAATGGTTTTTCAACGCGTAAGCATATCGAAGGCGGGCGGCGGGCGGCGGGGAAGGACGTGATGTTGCTCAAAGTCTCATTTCATTCAATGGTCGCCCAATCCGCATGGAAAATAACCAAAGGTAAATGTGAAAACTGTTTGGTAAGTGCGACCAGCTGCGCCCCCACAACTGTTTCCAGAACGATCGAAACATGCCGCCTGCCGTCTCGAAGTCAGCTCTTTGGCTGGGCGCTTCCCGCACCGCCCAACTGTGTCAAGGTCGAACGGCAGTCCACGTCTCATTGTAGGTCTCGATCAGTGTCAAGCGGGTACAGCGGCCTGCATTCTGAACGCATTCGCCGCCGCCGCTTACAAGTGTTACACTCTGAATTCATGGCCTGGCCTGGCCTGGCCACAGGTGGAGCGAGCGCATAGTTCGGGGTATTCGGGGTACGCTGCGAACGTGTCTGAATGTTCAGCGGGGCGAGCGGCTATCAGAAGACCTAAAAGTGGGCTGTAAATGTCTTGCTTCACACACACACACACACACAGTGATATGTGGCAGCCTCAAATGCTAACGACTCTCGCGTCGAGGGCTGGCTAATCAATGGCACGAGCGCTGACAGCCAGTCCAGAAACAATCGTAAAACAATGGCCAAAACACGGGGCTTATCGGGCGGTGACGTCAGGAATGGATGAGGCACGATTAGGGCCCACCTGCTTAAATACCTACAGCACAGTTATTATCGGTGCGATTTATGGTATGTAGATTTATGTAATTGGGCTTCGTTCGTGTTCGTGTTCGTGTACTTCAAGTGCTTCAAATCGGGACTAAGGCCCGATCGCGCCCTCCCCATTAAATCGGATTTAACCGGAAACATCCACGAACTGCGCTGCGCTGGCGCTGGCGATGGCGATGGAGTCGGCGTCGGCGTCGCTGCTTTCGTTTTGGGAAAAAGTTGTTAACAATATTTTTGCCCGACGTTGGCCAAGCAGCAGCAGTAGCAGCAGCACCGAGCAGCACCGAGCTGAGCAGAGCAGAGCGTCAAAAGCGAAATCCAAAGCTTTAACCGTTCCAACGCCAGCGGCCCCACGATCAGAAACACTTTGGAGCGCGTCGCGCGCGGTAACTTGATCGGCAGTTAGTTAGTTAGTTAGTTCGTTTTTTTAACCCACAAAACAAACAGTTTCCCACCGATCGGTGTCTCGAGTGTGACCAAAGTGAAACCAAACCGCGAGCAAAGAAAAGAGCTAAAAAGTATGTGTAAATGCCAGGCGATGTCGAGAGGAGGTCCTGTCCTGTCCTCCTGCTCGTCCTGCTCCTCCTCTTCGTTCTTTTTCTCGCGCTAATCCCAAACAGCCCAGGCCCAAGCCCAAGCCTAAGCCTAAGCCAAGCGAGCGAGCGAGCAGCCAAATCCCACCTAATTAGTGGGGGGAATTATTGTTTATATGGCCCGAAGTCTCGAACCGACCTAAAGCAAAGAGAATGATCATAAAGTATACAATATGCGGTGATTATAAAATTGTGCAATTTATAATTGCCAACTGCTGGGGCCCCCAAGCCGCCCGTGTGTGTGTGTGTTTTTATCAAAGGAACAAGAAAAATAACGAAATAAAAAAATATAATAAAAAATACTAAGAGGAATGCGGCCCGTACCGGCCCGGCCCGGGCTAACTCCCTCCAGATGACTGACTGACCACGCAGTGGCAGCATGTTCGAGGAAGTTTCTTGGGCTCCCCAAGTTCCCCCCCGTTACCCCTTATATGCCACAAAAATTTGCATAAAACTCGAACCGATATTCTGACTCGATTGCCAGCCGTCTATTCCCATGACAGATTTGAATTAATTGGGCTTTGGAGTGACCTATAAACTGGTCAGCCGCATACACGATTGACCTTCGCTCCGATGATTTAACATTAATATCACGCAGCCCTAACACTCGGGGATAGGCTTTCGGCTAAGCCTTTGTCCGGTAGATAGGCCATTGGAAACAGGTATTGGCTCTTAGCCCAGCTTTGTAGCCAGACAGACCCTGACCCTGATACGTCTGTGTTCGTGTGGAAAAACTTGGGAAAAGCGAAAGCCTTAGCGATCGCTATCTGAAAGGAGTTTACTTTCGCTGCGCTGCCCTTGAAATCGGCGAGAGACTCTTGAATGGAGAGTCGCTCTATTAGCCCTCGTATTAACACCGATTTCTCGGTGCTAATCAGCCTTTCAATCCCCGATAAGATAACACAACAGGCAGGCGCGTGCTCGTCGAGAACCCGATGGGCAGCAGGGAGCCTTATCAGGATTACTAAGAGGTCGAAATTATTACACTTTAAACCCACGATGGGGGTTGGGTAAAACCAAATACGAGTAGGTAGTACCACGAAATGGGTTCTTGATTGGGACAAGACATATCGGTAATATATGACCCTACTGGGTGTTGATAGCCGATTAATCCGATGGGATTACATTCGAGGAAAATGCTGGAATGGAATACCTCCTCGATTGCGTTTCGCTTGTGGTTTAATCTCCACACATAAATAATCAACCATTATCGCAGCTCCGTTACTAACTGGCAAATCGGTTGGAGCACAATCGAGAGATGGCGAAATATCTCTGGCATTGCGTTCCCCGCCCTCAGCGGTGTCTATCTGTGTGACTCGTTAGACATTGTAAGACGTCTGCTATGACTTTGTATTCCTGATTTGATTTACTAGCTGACACATCAATTGCTATATGGTGGGCTATTTCTAGCATCACGTTTTCCACAGCTTATAAACCGCATTCGTACCCCAACCCCTACCTGTACCCGCACTCGTATAGTTCATCAATTATTCTCGTTGAAAGCGAGCGGCAAAAAAAGGCCCAAGTCGGTGACAGTCGGTGGAGTACATTGAACAGACATTAATTAAACGAGTATGTACATATGTTATTGCTCTTTCCCCTCGACCTGTTCCCAGTAGCGAGTTGCGACTTAAGAGTTACGATTTACTCCGCAGTGAATCAGTGTCACAAAGACAAAGACAAAGACACAGAAACAGAAACAGAAAGACAGACAACAAATGTTATTAGGGCTGGCGAAATATGGGCTGGGGGTATGGTATACGTACATATCGGGGCTTCTATCAGGACAGACCGAGAGTTCTGGCTCTGTTTCTCTAGCTGTTGTCACAGCCGCATTGAAGAACCGAACCACTTGTCGAGATATGCCAGCTAGCCCCAACCCCAACCCAAACCCCAACCCCTACCCAAAATCCATTGTGTGGCTGCCATTGTCGCGATTAGATATGCTGAGGAACATGACCTGGACAATGTCTAACTGATCTTTTCTACTGATCTTTCTTTTAGCAATGGCGAAATTCTGGAATGCACTTACCCGCCGCAAAACGGACGACGTCCACGAAAGCGAGTCCCAGCTGGCGCGTGTCCTCAATCTGTTGGATCTGACGGCCCTCGGCGTGGGCAGTACACTGGGCCTGGGCGTCTATGTGCTGGCTGGACAGGTGGCCTACAACATAGCCGGTCCGGCGGTCACAATATCCTTCCTCATCGCAGCCGTCGCATCCGCCTTTGCGGGCATTTGCTATGCCGAATTTGCGGCACGCGTGCCCAAAGCAGGCAGCGCCTATGTGTACAGCTATGTGACCATTGGCGAGTTTGTGGCCTTCACCATTGGCTGGAATCTGATCCTGGAGTATGTCATTGGCACTGCTTCGGTGGCGCGTGGCCTGAGCGGCTACTTTGATGCGCTGATCGACAACAACATGTCGAAGGCGCTGAATGGGTCGATGCACATGAACGTTGACTTCTTGGGCGACTATCCGGACTTTCTGTCCTTCGGTATGGTCCTGCTGCTGGCCGGTATCCTGGCCTTTGGCGCCAAGGAGTCCAGTTTCCTGAACAACATCTTCACCTGCGTCAATCTGGTGACGATCTGCATTGTTCTGGTTGCCGGATCCATGAATGGTGAGTGCATTGAGTGGTGCGGTGCGGTGCTCTTGTCTCGGCCGATACTCATTTCTAATGCTTTCGCACAGCCAATAGCGACAACTGGCGCATCCCCCAGGACCAGGTGCCCGAGGGATTCGGCACGGGTGGCTTCATGCCATTCGGCATTGCCGGCGTGATGGCCGGAGCGGCCAAGTGCTTCTTCGGCTTTGTGGGCTTCGACTGCATTGCCACCACGGGCGAGGAGGCCATCAATCCCAAGCGCAACATTCCGCTGTCGATCGTCATCTCGCTGATCATCATCTTCCTGGCCTACTTCGGTGTCTCCACGGTGCTGACAATGATGCTGCCGTACTACCTGCAGGACAGGGACGCCCCGTTCCCGCACGCCTTCGACGCCGTCGGCTGGATCACCATCAAGTGGATCGTGACTATCGGAGCGGTGTTCGCCCTGTGCACCAGCCTCCTGGGCGCCATGTTCCCGCTGCCCCGCATCCTGTACGCCATGGGAAACGACGGCATCCTCTTCAAGCGGCTCTCCAAGGTGCATCCCTACACGAAGACGCCGCTGATTGCCACCGTTGTCTCGGGCCTCTTTGCATGTGAGTTGCATGCCCACGCGGCCTCAATTGAATTTCGCTGACTGTGTTGTTTCTCCTGGCAGCTGTCATGGCGATGCTGTTCAACCTGGATCAGCTGGTGGACATGATGTCCATCGGCACCCTGCTGGCCTACACCATTGTGGCCATTTGTGTGCTGGTGCTGCGCTACCAGGACGAGGACATGACTAAGCTGGTGTCGGTGAAGGCGCCCAATGTGCTGCGGCAGTTCTTCAACGGCAACTCGTATCGGGAACCGAACACCATGACCTCCGGCATCACCAAGATCGGCATCGTTGTCTTCGCCATCGTGTGCCTGGTGTGGTGCTCCCTGCAGAAGGTCTTCGATCTCAGCAGCACCGGTGGCATTGTGTCGCTGAGTCTGCTGGGCGTGGTGCTGATCCTCATTGGCGTGATCATTGGCATGCAGCCCGTGTCGACCATTGAGCTGACCTTCAAGGTGCCGCTGGTGCCGTTCGTGCCATGCCTGAGTGTCTTTGCCAATCTGTACCTGATGTTCCAGCTGGACCTCAACACCTGGATACGCTTCCTCATCTGGATTGTGATCGGCTATGTGATCTACTTCTGCTATGGACTGCGTAACTCCACACAGATCACCAGAAATCGCAATCACGCCGAGGTGGCGGCCAATGCCCTGCAGCAGCAGAGCGATGCATATATTGGCCAGCACGAGAATCGCGGCTTTGAGCCCGACTTTAAGGTGGAGAATGGCGTCAAGCTGCCACCGCACGAGTACTCCGAGAAGCTTTAAGCCCACAGAAGCAGCCAAAAGTATTATAGGTTCCTTTTTGTTACCCCCCAACCGACAGCCCAACCCCTCCCCCCTTAAACTTCATATACATACGCCTCGACATTTTCTCTTGAATAGAACAAAGACTCTTGCCTTCCTAGCTAGCACGTGTATGTGAGAGAGATGAATAGATTGCGCATAAAAATTAAATGGATCCGCACTCCCCCGACCCCCTCCCCAACTATCCCCATCCCCCCCCCCCCAGCACACCGCACACCTACACATCTATCGCTGCGGATCTGTTATTTTTATGCGCCACACACGCTTCGTAAGCGACTTCTAGAGAGAGCTCCAGTACCCAGACTCTGTTTAACCATTTTTAACATTTATTTTACCAGATTATCCCATCCAACTTTGAACTCTTTTAACTCTTTTAACTCTTTTAACTGTTTGCTGCGCTAAATTCCCCCTATGAATCCCCCCCCCCTCTTCGCAATGCCCCATTTTGTTGTGATATTTGTAAATGTGTATACCCTTACCCACATATGTATATACTGTATGTATGTATGTATGTATGTGTATGTATAGAGCTATAATGATCCCATATTTGTATATTTTGTGTCACAATTAATGTAAATGAAATACGGTAGCAAACTACTATTTTATGTATGTCAGATGCAGTCGCAGTCGCAGTTGCAGTTGCAGCTGCAGATGCAGTCGCCTGCACTTAGTATTTAAGCTCTTTAGCCGCTCTAAGCCCTTTTCCACATTTGTTTAATATTTTGCCAAAAACCAGAAACGAATTTGCCCCCGCCCCACCCACACCCACATTACTTGCTTGTTTAATAAAATCCAAATGTTGTTCATCACAAAACGGATGAGAGATATTTAATTGAAATTGTTCTGTCTTATTGGTTGGCTTGTGCCGGGGATTGGATTATGCGATGCACCCAACGTACTTACCTATGGGTCTTCTTTTCTGCTCTACCAAATATTTATCCAGGAAGAGGGTCCAGGTCTACTGGGTCCCCGGAGTGCGTCTGTTTCAGGCTCTCACAGATTGTGCAGCCGCTCTTCCATATGCATTTTGTGTGTTTTTGTTTGTTGGCAACTCGCACTGGACTCCGACTCTGACTCTGACTCTGACTGCGATTGCGACTCCACATTGTGTGCTAACCAGCTTAGTTAAATGGCAAAGAATCTAGACTCCCCACTCGGCTTCTCCTCTAATTTCTAAGCCTGGGAGAACTTGAAGAGTAAATAGTCGGTGCGGGTCGAAAAAATTCGCAACTCGGAGCCAAAAAGCCAGACAAAAGTTGCTTGGGGATAATGTAAGCAAGCACAAGCGTAGAGAGCCACACACAGAGAGCCGAGTACGAACGGGGATGGGGGATGGGGATCCTGAATATGCCAAGTGGGGGAGCAGGATTGGTTGGGTGATGTGGGATGGGGGATGGTCGACAAAGGCGTCGTCCATTGAGAAAATACAATTGTTTTGCCCGGATTTTCTCTTAACCCTAACCCCTTCTATTTCAATCTTTTCCCCAGCACTAATTTATGCATTTTAAAAGCATATCAAATGCTTACGTGGAAGCGGAACTGAGCAGAGCAGAGCAGAGCGGAGTGGAGTGGAGTGGAGTAGAGTTGGGGGGAGGGCTATACAGCTATAGAGCCAGCCAGCCAGCCAGCCCAGCAAAGAGGATATTCCGAGAGGGAATTGTAATTTGACTTTTGTGTCTTTGCTGTGCACATATGCGGAAAAATGCAATTTTTCACACGCTGCCATTGTAGCAATTGAGGGAAGAGCTTTTCCACACAGAATCTACTTTGCTTTCTTTTTGTTCCCTTTTTTTTTTTCTATTTTGCCCCAGCTGCTCGGTAATCAATAGCCCCCGGTACACTCTACATAGAGAGTCATTCACTCTAAGAAGTATTTTAGGAGGAAGCACACAGAGGGATTAAAATCCAAGTACCATTATTAGCATGGAATTTAAATGGAATTTATCAAGAAAGAAGTTTTTGATTTGCACATTCTACATTACAATTACATGGCCATGACACGCACAGCAAGTATTCTACATGTACGCTACGCAACTGTGACAGCCTGAAAGTATGTCCATTTTGTTTTCGATCAACATCCGGAATTTCTCCTCGTGCCCCGCCCAGCTTATTGCAAATTTAATTCAAATTGTTCTTAAATGAAATTGTTTTATTTCTCTGTTCTGTTCTGTTCTGTCTTTGTTGTTGTTGTTTGAAACTGCAACGCGTGCAAAACCACGGAATACCTTGCTCGTATCCCATTCCCCGAAAGTATACATATAGGGGAGAATATGGGGGGTCAGAAACCGCTCTGCTCGTGGGTATAATGTATCTAATCGAGCATGCCACATGCTCGTAATTCAGCATATCCTCGCATATTATGCTCTGGCAAAGTATTATTAGGTTTTTCAACACTCTTGCGCCTCTATATCGCCACACATGGATCAATAGAAATAACAATAATAACTCAATGAAATTTAATTGAATTTGTTTAAATATATCAGAACTTCTCTTCTCATTGGAAGGTGTATTCCAAGGGTGTAATCCGTGGGAGTCCGTGGTAGTCTTGCACAATTATATGCTGACGTGTGGCCGATCCATTGCACCGATGGTCCGATCTCCCCATTAAATCGCCATATTTCCATTCAGTTGCCCATTTCCACTCCATCGAATCGCAAAGTCCAATGCGTGGATGCGTGTGGGGGCTGGGGAGGAGGAGGGGGACTTCCGAGTATGCAATGCAATTTGCGTTACAATTGCGCTCAAATAAAATGTTCGGCCTAAAAGTATCAGATTCGATGGATGCAGTGAGAGGGCTGCAGTAAAAGGCGAATAAATAAACAATAAATGTCCGGTAAGGGCCAAGGGATTAGGGGCGGATTGTGGGAGGAGGCACGCGCCCTGCCATTTTGGCCGCTCATTGCGTGCGCTCTGCGTTTGTGGTTTCATTTGTGAGTTTTAATTAAATACGTTTAAATATTTGTTATTTCCGACAGACAGCGGCAGACAGAGGCAGACAATCCAAAAACCAAAACCAAACGAAACCGAAGCGCAGCGCAGCGAATGACCAACGAGAATAACAGGGCGGAGAAGGAGCGCGACTGGCGGATTCGTCCACCTGGTAAATATTAGCGAAAAATTAGGAAAGTATTTTAAGAGCAACATGTTCGTCCTGCGGCTTTCAACAACAAAATCCCCGCATCCCCGCAGCACAGCAGGGAATGTATCCCGTGTATCCCAGGGACGCGCACATCCTTTGCAAAAGATTTCGGTGCGTGTGCATTTCATTTATTTATAAATAATGCATAATTAATTTAAAGTGCGTGCGTAAAATTGTTGTTAAGTGCTTAATCCTGTAAAGCATACACACACACACGCACACACGCATACACGCATACACGGGGAGGGCAGCAGGAAGCGGAACGTGAACCAAGGGCAGGGTCCAGGAGCGCACCGGATATTGATTTGCATTTTGCATGCATATTCCATAAGTCTATAAACTATCACTAAATCGAAACAGAAGAGCCATGGCCAGGGCGGGAGGTGGGGAGGGTCAGCTTTGGTGTTGCTGCCTCTGTGAGTTTTCCATTATTTATTTGATATTTATTAGTCAAGTTTTGTGGGGATACTACATGCAGTTTTGCTCATTTATTTCATGGCAAAAACATTTTGCTGTTTGCCCAAATCAAAGTACTTGACAGCCCCTCGATTCCACGCTTCAAACCAATTAACTGATATTTCGCATTTGCCCAAATAGAATATAAACCAAAATTGCTAATGATTCTGGTTCCGTCATTTCCGCACCAACAAGCGTCCAAGCCCCCAAGCCCCCAAGCCCCAAAACCCCCCACATGACCCAATGCAATTTGAATCCGCAATTTTGTCAAAGTCAGAAAGTTCAAAATTTTACATGCGGTCACAAAATCAAATTAACTTTTAGCGCGCGTACATTTTGGCGCGACCACAGAGCGTGGTAATAGTTAAAAAAAATTTAATATTAAATGAAATAGAGGGGTGGGGGGGGGGGGTGGACAACGAGAGGGCGCCTTGTGCATATAATAGGCCGATCAACATCAATTAAGAAAATAATCCCCGCATTATTTGAATGGGGAAAAGCGACTGCGAGTGCGATTGCTGCGACTGGGTGGAAGGATGTGAGTGCGAGTATATAAATATTGTTTGACATCGACGAGGGCACAAAAAACTGTCAGCAGCGAGGGACAGTCCTCTCAGTCAGGCGGGGGGAATAAAGCCAACATTTTCCACATATGCTAAGCGTGCGGAAAAAAAATGTGAGCAGAGACCAGAGAAGCATGTTGTGCGGTCGTAATGATGACGCTTCTGGCCAAGCGCATTCCGGATGTTGGTGTAAATGACGACGATGATGATGACAGGTGCTACATGCAAGGACATGACATTTATGAACTCGAAATACTCGGAATACTTGGATGCACGGACTACGCTTCGATGGTTCCCTGTTGAGTTGCACAGCGATAATTATGACTGGGGGGGGGGATCGTTTTTCATGCAAAAAGCTGGCCAAGAGTCCGTGAATGCTCCGTCAGCTGATCCCTTCTACGCTATAAACATTCATTTTCAATTAACATTTTCAAGTATTTTCCACATTTTCCACACTAATTGCATTTTACGTGGCTCATCACAACAAAAACACCACCAACTAAATAAATACACACATTTTCTGTATTTATTTGAGCAGAGCAGCACAGCAGGTGCTGCTGATAAAACAAACAAAAATGCGTGCTATACGTATACCACTATGGACACACTACCACAAAACACAAACACACACACACACACTCATACTATGTATATAAATATATAGTAGGTATATGAGGGAAAATGTGGTTGAGAGGCATTTTAGATTTCAGCCAACAACATTGACGCATCGAGCCATTTAACCAAATGCATCATACGCACTGTTGCATGGTTCGCACCTCTTGATTATAGTATTGTGCCCAGTACACACGGTACTCGTCGAACAGTACAAGGGTATACTCTCAACTGGAACTCAATGGATTTTTAAGCTAAGTACAGCAGTTAATTTCGTACGAATAATATTTATTTTTTTGGGCTCTCGCAGATCTAAATAAACCTTGAGTTATTCTTGCACCATTTGATAGTTCCTTCCTTTGACAGTTACCCTGCAGGGGGGAGGTATCATTAAGTCGGTAGGTTTCCGTGGGGACGCAGCAACAAGGCCACCAAATATATGTGCGGAAAGCAAACATGGTCATAAAATCGCATTTGGCATTTTGTGTAAATCAAATCAGCGGAGCGGGAAACGGAAACAAAGCCCAGAGTTAGGGTTCGGGATGCGGATGGCATGGACCTTTATGTTTTTTGATGACCATAATGAAAAGATCAAAAGGCCATAAAATGCCAGCTCCCGCGCAGGGCACTAACAAAAATATATCAACGACATGTGTGGCATTCAAAAAGACAACAAACAAAAAAAAAGCGGACAGACAAAAAAATAGATGCATAAAATTTAAAATGCAAATGGGCAGAGAGAAATAAAAAAAAATAAAGGTGCAAAAAGTTATCATATAATGTGGAGAGTAATGGGGCCATTAAGTGGGTTATGCCAATGGGTTATAAAGTGTCGGGAGATAGGAGTGACTGCAGACCCACATGCGTGCTCTCGCACACCCAATATCGGCTGGCTCTTCATTAAACCAATCCTGGACTTCAACCCTATGCGAAAATCCACTCGACTGACTAAATTAGTGCGAAAACTCAATTTGCTGCTGAAATGTCTCCAGCTCGGGGATCCGATTAGGAGGATCTAGGGAGTGTGTGGGGGGGCTCTCCGGGCAGGCCAGTGTCCGACTCCTCCGTTCGAGTTCCATTTAGTCTCGTCAACTGCCATCAATTTGACTAACAATATTCACGCCAATTAACAAATTAATTGCCTACTTTGCTGGCTGCACTTGAAGGCAGCAAACACACAAACACACACACACAAGCACACTGAAACACACACACACACACACACACAGAGAGAAACAACAAACTCTGCATACTCGCTCTTAGGCATATTCCCAATGGCGTCTTAGTTTTATGGGCAAACACAACACAGCCACAAAGCAGAAACGTTAATGAAATTTCCAGCCCAAGCGACGGCGCTGCGGCATTCAGCCCACAGGGTGGACAAGGACAGGGGAGGTTGTGTGCAGTGGTGGAGAGAGAGGGCGGGGAGTGCCAAGGGAGTGCCCGTTATGCAACCTCTGCCCGGTAGGTGGCGTATTTGCAAAGCTTTTAATATAATGACACATTATCATGGCGCAGGCAGCGGCGGCGATGTCAAAGGCAGGGCAGGGCGTAGACACATTTGCATGGGTGATGCATGGAACAAATGAGCTCACGCATAAGCAGATCAAGAGGGGGGGATGGGAAGGACAGTGAGTGGGGCAGGCACACGATGCATGGGAGATGCGCTTGCAGCCGTTTGTTCGCGCAGGCTACCACAAGATGGTTACACGTATTGAAATGCGATTCCCGATCATATGGGCATTGCATTTTCAATGAAAATATTTCGCATCTCCCAGCTTGTTCGTGGATCAGAGGAGGAGTATATAGCCAGAGAAAGGGTATCTGTGCTCCGCCCATAAAAAGCCAGCAAAGCCCTTCCATTGTACTGTTCTGTTCTGCCTTTCCCACCTCATTCTCTGCGCTTTACTGTCGATTTATTACTGTTATTTCTGCTGATTTTACGCATACGACCTGTAGGCCTGCTGGCCCGTTCCAAAGAGCGTTTTAAATTGGCTAAAAAACCGAAAAACAGAAAAGGGGAAGTGCAAACAGCATGCAACCCGCACGCCTCTTTCGCATATGCTTGCCGCTTATAAAATATGCAGCAGCAGCAACGCTTGTTGCAACAATGACAGTATCAACAACAGCAACATCAGTGGCATCCATTTAATTTCGTTTTAATGCACAACATATCCTCCACGAAGGTGTCCCGGCCCATTGTCGATTGCCGAGAGCACCGCCGGGCATTGTCCTTATGCCGAGCGCAAACAATTGTATTTTATCCCAGCAATCATTTGATTGCAAAGGAGGGACAGAGGGCCACAGGACAGGCGCTGGGTCTGAGGCTGCTGCTGTGGCAATTAAATGGCAGAAGTCCGTTTAATGCATAATTTTTGGCCGAGTTGCATATTACTCATGTTGTTGTTACTGTACTTGCCCGCCCGCCCTGGCCTGCCTGCCGATTGCTGCTGTCATCATTTGTATTTGCCTGTTGTCTGTGTTTGTCGAGTGCCAATCGAAATTTTATGGCACCACTTAGCGCGACAAGAAGAGAGGGTGTGGTGCTGAGGAGGCTGAAAGGATACCTATGACATACATATAAATATTTATAAAATGCACGCATAAAAAATACAAGAATGCTACGTAGCTTTTGCTTACATTTGGGTTTGATTTGTTACGTGGATGAATACATTAAAGCAATTCCTAGTTAGGGATTAAAGCAGTTCCAGGAACCACACTAACACTGATGGCTGGAATGCTTTATAAATAGAAAGAAAAATTGGCCAAAAATATCCAAGAGACGCCGTGGGAGGATGTCTATAGCTATGCTGAAATATTCTTTGAGGACTGCCACATTATTCCCTCGTCATTCTAATTACATGACAAAACGTTTCCATTCTACAAGGAAAAGCTATCGATCATGCGATGAACAGCCTCAAGTGGTGCCCACTCGTGCCCGAGCAGGAAACAAATTTGCCGAAAGTGTAGCAATGTTCAAGGTCGGGTCGGAGAACATCTCAAGAGTTTTGCCAAGATGCTTGAGCAGAGAACTCGTCAAGTGGCTAGAAATGGAGGGGCACCGTACCTGGGGACTGCCAGAAAACGCTGGAAACCCAAGAGGAAAGTGTGCCCCCAGGTGGATGATTCTTTTGGGGGAACTGAGTGCAAGAAAAGCCCCGAAAAACAGTAGCAGCTGCATTTGTGGATGGCTGCTTGGAAAGGGTTCCAGCCACATATTACCGTCATCAAACATTCACAAATCATCGTTTTGATACTCGTCCAAGATGTGGAGAGACACTTCAGATTGAAAACCAGATCCAAAAATAATTGTGCTCAAGTGCGTGGCCGAAAACGAGTCGAGGGCGGACGGACGGATGGACGGACGCGTCCGCGAATGGAGCACGACCCAAACCCAACTGATTTTGGTTGCCAACGGTCGCTTCCAAGTGGTTAATAGAGTCCGCTGATCGCTTTGTTGTACGCACACTTGACTTGGCTCTATCCAACACGGAGATTGGTAATGAAACCTGATTCAAATACCACATCCGATCGGAGGTTTCGCTATAAATACTCAACGCGAATTGGAACAAGACATCATTGGGTTCAATACCTTCGACACAGTAACATCTTCAGTCAGTTCGTATATAGTTTGCCAATCTCCACTAGAACTATAGCTACAGAATGGTGAGTGAATCCACAGCTGGCAGCATCATGCTGCAGCATATGCATAATGCATAATGCATAACCCTCCTGCTTTTTTGTGCCACAGAAACTCTTCATTGGTGCCCTCTCCCTGTGCCTGGTGGCCCTCGCAGCTGCCCAGTCGGCTGATCCAGCGGGTCTGGAACCCTCGGCAGAGTATCTGCCACCTGTTGGCGATGCCGAGGCCGCTCAGCTCTCCGAGGATGGCTACCGCTACAAGACCGTGCGACGATTGAAGCTGCGCCACCGCCGCGAGGTGCCCAACCAGGAGTACCTGCCCCCTGTGGACAATGCACCCAGCCAGGAGTACCTGCCCCCAGTCGACGCTGCTGCCATTGGAGACACCAAAGTGGCCGATGATGGCTACCGCTACAAGACCGTCCGCAAGCTCAAGTTCCGTGCCCGCCACCGCCGTGATGTGTCCGAGATTGCCGAGCCCATCAACGAGTATCTGCCCCCCGTGGAGGTGTCGCTGGCTCCCGAGCTGAAGACCGTCCTGGGCGATGATGGCTACCGCTACAAGACCGTGCGTCGCCTCAAGCTGCGCCGCCACCGTCGTGAGGTCGCCGTCGCTGCCGAGGAGGCCTCCGCCGAGAGTGCCCCCAATGGCGAGTACCTGCCCCCGGCCGAGGCCGCACCCGTCGAGGCTGAGCCCAAGGCTGCCGCTGAGGAGGGAACCGAGCTGGCCAAGGATGGATACCGCTACAAGACCGTGCGCCGCATCCGGTACCGCCGCCACTAAGCTTCTGACTGGACACGAACTGAGGAATATTGAACCAAATTGATCCTGGAAAGTACACAGAGTAGAGCCGGGCTCCCGGCCCCAGCGCCCCTGCCCGGCTGACTCGACAGCAATTTTCTACCCTCCTTCTCCCCAATACACTACACAGACCTTCAATTGTCCCAGCATATGGAATAATAAAATTTATTCACGAAAAATCAGTTGAAATCGAGTTGAATATTTTGTTCGCTGGAGCAGCCCCACTCCCCAATCGTGTGGCTTGCCAAGAAACCCCAGAACCCCAGTGAAATTAACATATTTTCTAAATTGCACATTAAATAATATCCGTATAGGAAAAAACGGGAGAACAGAGGAACACAGGAGAGAGAACAGAGGCAAGCCAAGCCAAGCCAATGGCCGAAATGGAATTGAAATCAATGGCCAAGTAATGGCCAAAAGAAGGCGGAAAGGCACAAAATAAAAGAAAGGAAGCAAAACGAAGCGAAAGGAGACGAGAGGCAAGCGGAAAGGGAACAACTTTTGGCCTGCGCCAAAAAAAACCCGAGCGAAATTCTATTTAGAAATGAAGTGTGCGCTTTTAGGCGCACCAGCAGGGGCTGCAGAAGGGTCCCACCATCCACTCAAAGTGCAACGACTCCCTCCACGGATCCCCGGACTATTCGACTCCACGACTGCTCCAGCATCTTTTTACGGTCAACTTTTCGTAATATTATTTTGCATTTATTTGCACAAAGTTGATTTTTCCTCTGATTTCTTTGTTTTCTTTCGGTTCCCTTTGCGGACTGGCAGCCAAATTACAATATTGTAGCGATCCTTGGTTGGTGCTGCTGCTGCTGCTCCTGCTCCTTCCTCGCTGGGCTCTGGAATCCATGCTGCTGGAAAAGAGTAAATAAAACATTTTTTTTCTGTGCGCCAAACATAAAGTTACGTAATTGAGCGCTTGACTCTTGAAAGCTGATGGTTCGGGCACGCCACGGGTGTGGGTCTGGGCCAAGTCAGAAAAGGTTATCGACGAGTTCAAGTTGAATGAATATTCATTGCATAATAGATTGAAATTAGCCAACAAAGGTGGAGCACTCTCCTTTGCGGCAGGTGGCAGTTTCTGCCCATCCGTGAAAGGCGTTCGATCGGGATGGCCATCTGTTCAGATATCTGAAAAAAAATCATAGGCTAAAAGCCAGGCACATGCATTGCTAATTGATATTGATAGGCTGTCCAATTGGGCATGCGGGGGCATGGGGCATGCCGTCTATCGTTGCCATTTGAAGAGCACACACTTTTAATGGGCAGCAGGCAGGTCTAATCTGGCTCTGGCTCTGCAAATTTACTTCACTTTCTGGCCCAATTAGTAGCGATTGAGCATTGGCATTGGCCAGAGAGCAGCCAAGAACCAGCGGCAAGAAAAAGTCGTCAAAGTCAAACACACAAAAAGCCAGATGCAGGAAACTTTTTTTTTTTTTCTGTTTTTTGACCAAGCGGAAAAGTTTTGCGAGCAGCTCGAAACTTGTGAAATATTTAAAATTATGGCCAAACACGAGGAATGTGAATGCGAATGCGAAACCAAGGCTTGACCCAGGTCGGGGCTGTGCATCAGGCACTCAATGCGACAGGGGTGCAGCAGGCCATTTCAATTGCGCCTCTTAGCCACTTACGACTCTCTCGGTTCGAGAGCAGAGCAAAGCAATGCAAAGCAGCGGCAAATCAGAGGCAAAACAGAGGCAGAGGCAATGCAAAGCGATCCACCAGGGGCCAAGGCAGAGCAAATTGAGGTGAAGTATTTAAGGCCAAAGCGGCTTGAGGCCCACCCTAGCTCCGCCATCAGCCATCCGCCTCCGCCTCCGTCTCCGATTCCCACTCATAAGCCGATGAGACAACCCGGGCCCCGGCAGCTTTGAGGGACAGCTGGCAGTCGCACTCTGATTGCAGGGGCTGGCTCGCTCGTTCGCATTCTGTTGCTTATCTGCTTTGTCAGAGATTTTCTCGCTGCTCTTCCTTCCTCTCCAAAGTGTGTCTCTTGCAGGGCAGAACACTGCCAACTGTTTCCATTAAAAAACCATTTAAATATTATCTCCACCGACTCCCTAGGCCTAATCCACATGAGTCGACCATCCGCTTGACAGACATTCGGCATATTCAGATTCAGCTACAGATACGGGCATGCCGCGACAGGAGTCGAGTCTCTCCTTTGCATTAATGAGCTTTGCTTTAAGTATTTCGAATTTGATTTTATTAATTGGCCCTTCACTGGCTAAACATCTTGATTAACTTTCTGTCGTATGGCCGGCCGCCTCTGAGGCACAAATATTCGAATCGTTTGACGCACCACTTACAAATGCAATTACAAGTGGCAACAATGAAATTAGCAGGCAAATTGTTTCATTGATTTAAGTGGCCCATGAAATGTTTATGGTCCAGACCATTCTTCTGCTGTCTGCTGTGTGGCTGTCTCCGGTTCATTCGATTGTCATTGTCAGAAATTGTTTTCGCCTGAATATTTGAATGGACGCTGGACAGTTGCCTAACCAATGCAATTTCCCTGCTAATGGATTGACAACATTCTCGAAATAGGTTGAAAGAATTTTTTCCCAAATATGTAGACTCCATTAAATGGAAATTTGGTCAAAATTGTGCGGTTTTTGCAGCTTATATTTCATACGTAAAACATTCATGCATACTCGTATTTGTGTAATTCCCATCCCAGATCTTATCTGTGGAAACAATTTGTCATTTCTGTGACGTCTTGTTGCTGCCCCATTAAAATCGCACACGGAACGAACGAGCAAGCGAGCGAGCGAGCCGAAAAATATTTGCTTGCCACAGATTTACATTGCAGTAATTGATTTAATTTCAATTGTGGACCGTGTTCGTCTCTGGCTGGATGGATGGATGGATGGATGGCTGAATGGCTGGATGGATGGGAGCGTTGGGAGTCCATCCATATACACGAGTATTGATAAGTCAAATCGAATGGCGATGGTGCATGGTGTGGGGTGCGGGTGCGGGTGCGGCAAGGGTGTGTGAGTGAGTGGCCCAGAGAACTGCAATTGATAAATATCAGAGTGTTTTTAAAGCTTATTTTTCAGATGTCCAAGCGGGAGACGACTACGGCGACGGGCGACAAAAATAAGTAAACAAGAGCAGCAAAGCCAGCGAGTACAGTAGAACCTTCAGTAGAAAGTACTTGGTTTTGGGTCCATTCAAAGTTGATAAGTGTTCTGTTTAAATGTTACAAAAGGTAAGAAGATCTACCTTAGACCGAAGACTAAACCGAATAGATAACTAAGTACATGGGCACCAAGTAGACTTTTTCTTTCCTTCCTTAGCAGAATATATTTTAATTCGAGAGCATTTAATTGTAAATGTGTGGGAGGGGGCAAACCTATGCTGGAGGTTCCACTGTAATAAAGTTGATTGCAGCAGTCGGTGGCAAATTGAATATTTGCCCGCATGTGAGAGAGAGCGTTGTGTGTTGTCTCTGTGAGTGAGTGCGATGCTTATTCTGTCAGTCTCTTTTTTCTCTGTTTGCCCGAGTATTTGTTCGCATTGTTAAATGTTCGCTCCCACCATCCACATCCACAGCATCCACAGCGGAACAATATCTGGATGATAAATGCAAAGTAGTCAGAGAGAGAGAGAGAGAGAGAGCAGCGAGAACGGCACTCTCTTGGTCTGGGAACTGTGTTCCACCATTGTTAACGGTTGCTCGCGAGTGGATGTTGTAGATTGGGTCTGTCTGTCCCTAAGAATTTCTAGCTACCAATTCATCATTTTATGCAACCCTTCCTTGCTCTCCGTAGTCTTCCGCTCTCTCTCTCAGCTGTTGCTTCATCGCCTGTTTCCACTGTAGTCCAATTTGTTGTTGTTTTTGTTCTCGTCTTCTGTTCGTTCGTATCTCCTCCATTCGCCCAGCAGCCAGGCCGCGTCTTATGCCAATCTTTGGGCTCTATCGATTTTCTTTTGTTTAATTTACTGGACCCCTTGCCGCGGGGGTGTGTGCGAAGCCCTTTTAGATTTCGTAATCTAGTTCGACTGGCTCTTTCTTGTTTATTTGTTTGAGTCGAGCTCTTGATAAGGTTCCAAGTACAAGCTGCCGAATTCATTCCCCCCTCCCCACACCCTACACACCGTCTTTGTTATATATGTACATAAGTATATGTAAGTGCGAGTGCTCTTGCACCCAATTTAAGTGTATCGAACAGGGGAGGTATGTAGGTATGTACATATTCGTGATTTAGGGGCAATCCGAAGTGAACACAATTTAGTTGAGTCGATCAATGAGCAGCTTTGTAGCTTGACAGCTTATCCGATCAGCTGTTTGTGTGCATTGGAAATACTTGGAAAGAGATCATTTTCGAATTCAAACTCCAATAAACAAAGCAGATGTACATATGTATGTACATAATGTACTGACAGTCTCCACAGCCAGAGAGCTTAAAATAGTCGGAGAAATGTCGTTGATACAACATGTGCACGACGCTCAAGTAACTGGACACAATTCGACGGTGGGTTTCAGTTTCAGAAACAGCTGATCTACGAATTCCCTGACAAGCAAATCAAAAATCTCGCTCAGGAATTGGCGACGAATCTGTTGAGTGTTGATGTTAGAGCCCCGCGCTTATCGGAAGGAGGAAAATATTAATCAGCGTTTTGGAATTACTCACAGACTGACCGACCACAAAGTGCGAGGAGTGGTGTGAGCAGCGGCGATAAACGTGCCACTGCTGCCACAAACGGCGTCGATAAGAGAACCAACTGCGAAAATGTGTGTTTTACCAAAGTTCTCTCGCTCTCGCGCGCTCTCTCTTCTCGGATTGTTTACAACCCACCGAAGAGAGTGGGCAAAGCCACAACAACAGCAACAGCAAAAGCATCCTCAGAGAGGGATGCTCTCTTTGTGCACTATACGTGAGTGAGAGCGAGGGAGAGAGAGAGCATAAGCAATTGTTGCTCTGCGCTCTCGCAGAGGCTGGCTGCTGATGCGCCGCCAATTTGCAAGAAAATTTAGTTCGTTTACAGTTGGTTTTTGTGGGCAAGTTGTGAAAATCGCATCGAGGAGAGAGCACACCAATCCGAAAAGGAAAAGGAAGAGTTGCCAACACGCAGCAGAAAGTGGCAGCTACCAGCAGCAGCTAGCAGAAGCAGCAGCAACTTGCAGCACGGTGACAAGTGGCAAGTGGACAAACTCAACTACCAAGTGGTGAAAAAACAAAGCTAAAGCTTAGAAATAAATTGTCGTGTTTTTAAATTGTGGAAATGAGCTTGTTGCTGCGGTCGTCTCTCTCGCTGCCGCTTAAATAATACACACACACACACACAAACACATTGGCAAGCACTCGCACGCATACATGCACATGAGGTACATACATAGATACAATAATACATACGTAGATGCTCATATGTGTGCGGTAAATTTTGCCGTGTTGCCGAACCTCGTTTGGAGATTTCTGTGTGCGTTGTGTGGTGGCAGCAAATAGTTGTTGCAAGGCCTTCGAGCAGTAACAAACAAACAGCCAGCATCCATCCCCCAATAAGTGGCAGCAACAGCGACGACTGACGCACACATCAGCAGCAGCAGCAGCAGCAGTGGCAGTGGCAGCGACAGCGGCAGCCACAACAACGTTGTTAATTGAAATAAATTGAAATAAATTCCACAACGTTTGCTGCTCATATTGTTAATAAAGAAAAGCAGCAGCACACCACCAGAATCAGCAGCAACGGCACGACAGAATCACCAGCATAAACAAAACAGTGAACCACCCAGTCGAAATACTAAAATAAAATAAAAACAACCCGAAATCAGGCAAGCATTTATTTACACAAAAAATATTAAAAGCTAATTGAATGTGGCTGACTGGCTGACTGGCTGACTGACTGACCCCCGAGGAGAAATTCTCAAGTTGCAAATAATCAGCAAATGCGTTCGCCAGCTCGTATAATTTTGCGTTTAGTTGTGTGTTCTCGATTTTTGGTATCAGCGGCAAGACAAATGCGTGGCAAGTAGATTTATTTTTAGACGAAAGTGTGTGCCATCCGAACAAGTGTACAGCGACTCGTACGAGTACGAGTACGAGTAATGTGCATAGCAGCCTCGTTGAAAATAAGTCTCCAAGAAATTGGCAAAACAAAAATAAAAAAACAATAGAGAGAAAGACGACTGCTTCCAACGTGCATCATGCACAAGTTTGAGTGCAAAGCATTTGCAGATGTTTTGTTCCTGTGCCAGAACAACTCCACAATTCCTTTAGTGAACCGATCTGCCATTCCATTGTTAAGCGAAACGAACTCAGATCTTCCTCTTGGCAGCATTCAGAGAAAAGTTTAACCACGCAGTCGTAAGCAAAAAGTTCTCTTAAGATAAACCAAATAAATAAACACGAGTGCGCCTAGTTCCACGTTCGAATCACACTTGGATTCGCAGAATCAACACACAATTGTTTATGTTTAGGCGATTGCGGTGGGTTTTTGATTTCAGCCTCTCGAACTCAAAGAGCTCTTTCCATTTGTATACAAGTGGAATATATATTTTTGCGGGTTTCGGTAGGGGGAGAATAGCAACAGAAACAGTGCCTCAGGTGCTACGGAAAGTACACCTGAACGGCAAGCGAATTAATGCGAAATTTTCCAGCTTTTGTTCCATCATTTGATTTTCTCCCCAAACTTCTTCATTGCTGCTGCTCTTTCATGGCTGGTAATCAATTTAATATTTACATTGTTTTCTTCTACTGTTTATTATCTCAATCATCTCCCTGCTCTCCGCTTAAAGTCAATTGAATTTATTTCTAAAACAAATATAAGACCCACCTCCGCGCCAAGAACCTCGAACCGAACGAACCCAAGGTTCATTGAACTCCCTAACCAGCCTCAAGGACCTCAGCGACCCGACCCTTACCCTTTTGGGAGCCAAGAAGAGCGCCGAAAAGTATGCAACGGGCCATGGACCATCAGGGCATAAACTAATATTAACGATTTTCTCACTTCACTTCGCTTCACTTCTCGTCCCCTCCCCTACCCCAGGCAGCAGCAAGCAGCATCCCACCGCAGTGGGCCAACAAACACACACACACACACACACACACGTACAAACTCTCACCGACAAGTGGACCAAAAGGCGGACATGCGCAAATACCATTTTGGTAGTGGTAGCAAGACAAAAGTTAACGTTAATAGCGCCTAAGAGCGAGCCAGAGAGAGGGAGAGAGAAGCTGCACTGTGAGAGAGGATTAAGAGAGCGCACAAAAGTCAAAAGAGAAAATGGCCTTTTCGCGCCACAACATTGAAAAGCGCCGACTCATCGAGCTAGTGCGCCTAAATCCCATCCTGTGGGACTGCCGCCTGCCACACTACAAGCGATCCGACAAGAAGAAGGCCATCAAATGGAACGAGCTGGGGCGCCTGTTCAACGTGACCGGGGAGCGGGTGCAGCGCACCTTCACCTCCCTGAGGGAGATCTTTCGACGGGAGCTGAACCACGAGAAGATGCTGGGCACGACGCGATTCAAGTCCAAGTGGGAGTACTACGATGCCATGGCATTTCTCAAGGAGGTGATACGAGAGCGCAAGTAAGTTAAGCGTATAAGGAGCGGGCCTCTGGGAGTTGCGACTGTAATTTCTCTTATTTTTCTTGCAGATCACGGGAACGCATTAAGCAGGGTCCCACTGATCCTGTCCCCAGGTCCATATCCACCACCAACAATAACAACAATAACAACAACAACAGCAACAACAATACCAGCAACAACAATACCAGCAACAATAATAACAACAACAACAACAACAGTGTGGCAATGGACGAGTACCAATATTTTGCACCCAGCGATCCCAACAATCCCAACAATCAGCCGCAAGCGCAGTCGCAGGCGCAGCCTCTGCCGCAGCCAAAGCCCAACGTGACGTCAGTGAGCAATCCTGCAAGCATCCTGCCCAGCCTCAGCCAACTGCCTGCCGCGCTGCTACCACAGGCGCAGCACTTACAGGCGCTCCAGCTGCAGCCGGATGTGACGCTGACCTCGTTGAGTGCTCTGCCGAAGCAGCCGCCGTCCGTAGCCGCATCCTCATGCGCAGTGCCCGCAGCAAATGTGTCGCCTGCCCTGGTGCTGTCCAGCTCACGTTCCTGCAGCTCCTCGCCCTCCATCTACATCAAGGACGAGCCGGGCTCTCCAGAGGATGCAGACGGGAATGGAAGCGGCACCAAGCTGGCCACCATTCGTCCACAGACTAAGCAGCAGCTGAAGGCGCGTCTGCAGGCGCCGGCACTCAAGAGCGCCTCCATCTACGCGACATCCCCGCCACGTCTCATTATCAATGCGAACAACGAGCTGATCGATGCCGATGCTGGGGACCTGGACGATGATCTGGATGACTACGACGAGGATGACGACGACACAGGTCGATACTCGCCCGTGGTGGATGTGGATATGTTGGGGCCCGACGGCCGCTTCTCGCCCGGCGGCAGCAGCTACACGCGCGTGGGTGCCGGTGGCGGTGGCGGTCGCTCGCATTCCCAGCCCCGGCATCTGCCCAGCCCCCGAGAGCTGCTCTACATGAAGTTCGGCGACTTTCTGGCTGCCCGACTGAACACCTTGAACGAGACTGTGGCCAATGAGCTGATGAACAAGATATTGCTGCTCATTGCAGAGAAATGAGCGGCCGTCAGAGACAGAGTAGGAACGCTCGCAAATATGATTGAATCGACAAAGGAGTGGTGAGTGGAGTGCCCAATTAATTATACTATATATTTAGTTATTATTTATCAATTAATTAATTAATTAATTAGTGTGTAAATTAGTAGGATCGGTGGATAGCCTTTCCTACTAGAATATTTTCGAGTATAAGTAGCACACTCCATGCTGGAATTCAAGCCCACGGCTCCTCCTGTAAATCTACATAGAGTGTGGATGGATGTTGATCTGCCGGATTTGTTGAAGGAATGCGAATGTGCAAATCGTTCCCAAAAATGTTGTAATGCTCATACATACTATATACATATATGTTGCTTTTATGCTCTTGGCCAGGCCCGAAATTCTTCAACTAGTTGGCGTTGGTCTTGCTCTAGAAATTTATTGCACTGACCAATTTATTTAGCAACAACAAAAACACACACAAACACACACACACACACGCACACAAATATTTAAATTTCAAGTTTTATTTACACACAAAATGCCAGAGCCATAAAAAAGTTTTAATTTCCGGACGTTGAAGTGGACCCCAGACACACACACACACACACACACACACACGCAGTACACACACTCGCATACAACCGGACGGAACGATGCAAGTTTGGAGATTTGAGAGCATTTCACGCATAAATAAAATGCCTAGGACTCTGCAACATGACAGCAGCCAAGTCCCAGTTCCAGTCCCAGTCCCAGTCTCAGTCCCTCGCCCAAAGCTCTATCCCTAAATCCCGCATAGGCCCCACAGAAGAGCTGCTGCTAACTGACGGAACTGGCCCCACAATGAGCGAAGCGGAGCCGAAACTCAAAAATTAGAACAACAAACCAAAAAAAAAAGCAACGAGAATACAGCTCTTAGCTTTGGAATCGGAACTCGGCTCGGACTTGGCCACTCTGGCCAATCTGACGGTATGGCGGGCAAAGGGGCCAAGAGCTGTGAATGAGGCTGCCTGCCTGGCTGCCCGACTGCCTGGCTGCCTGACTGCCGGATATGTATGCGAACATTTTTGCACCCTAGCCTAGCCCCATCTTCAAGGGGGTTTGCTTCCATTCGGATGCTGCATACATATCTGTCGTTTACAAGTGACTGGCCAATTGCCATTCCGTTTGATATAAAACAGCTGATTGGCTGCAGGCGAAACTACTTTGCTTTACATTGAATCAGGCTGGGAATTACTTTTCGCCTTCACAGGAGCGAAAGGATCAGTTGCATCTTTGGTGCTTGAGTCGCACTGGAATGTTGATAAACCAATGAACATTATGCTCAGAGTAAATGTACGATTTGACTCCTGGGTTTAGCTGCGAGCAGGGTGTCACCGATGCAGATGCAGACGGAGACGGAGGCTGAGACATGTGATGTAGGCTGCACAGGCAGCTGTGTTGTGTGCCTCTATGCCCCACCACCACAGGGCCACAACCAGTTCAAACTGTGCTCGTGTATCTGTGCATCTGTATCTATATCCTGTATCTGTATATGTATCTGTATCTGTATCTAGTAGCTGCAACTCTACACTCTTGCGGCACTCTCCTCTCCAAAGCGTCGCTGGCATGCAGGAGCGTGTGTATTTACGATTTTGTAATATTTATGCAGCGACGCCTTTGGTGTGTGCCCTTTAGATGCCATTGCGGCTGCCCTTCCTATACATTCGATGCACCCAACAGCCCAACACCCCAACACCCCGCCACAGCCCACTCTTATCTATGGTTTGGGCCAAGTTGCTTTACGAGCACAGACGCAGCCTCGGATTTGAGTGTGGAAAGTGGAACCAAGGGAAAATCAGAGGGAACGGGGTGCGGGTGCGGCATACAGTGCCTCCAGCACAGTGGGTGGCATGTCCGACCTTTTATGGATAGTTACAGCAAGTTTGTTGGCACTTACAACATTATAAATCTGCCATAAATTATCATTTTATGGTCGCAGCTGATGACACGATGGGCCACAAAAGATACTTTTGATCTGAAATGAGCATTAAACAGGGGGGGAGGCACACAGCAGGGCTGGCATCATTGAAGTGTGTATTTGTAGGGATCGATAAATTGCAGAAATATGACATGCGACGCATCCCATCGTAGCATCTCTCCACTCTCCCAGCCCATCCCATCTCTCCACTCTCCAGTGTTCGGAACTTACAGTAAATAAACTTAACATTTCCTTGTCTAGAATGCTGTCTGAGTGCCTCTGCCAGCCCGCCAGCCTGCCACATTTCCCAAACACTTTCCACACTTCCGCCCGTTCGCATTTCCGCTCAAAAAAAAAAAAAACATCAAATCTCAGTTGGCTACAATGTCTGAGGATGCTGATATACGCACTCTCCCTTCCTAGGCACTCGGGCCGTTCCGTAGTCTCCGCCACTCTGCCCGTCAATGGGGCAAGTTTTAAATGGCGGCGCTAAAAAGTATTGCAAGCACCACCCCCACCACCACCCCCGGGGGCGTACCCTTTCTGCACATAAAATGCATATGCAAGTTAATGTTTACAATAGTCGTAAAAGTTTAATGGATTTTGCCAGCTACTGCACGGGGCTTAGGATCGTAACTTTCGAAATCAGTTTTTTTCGCAGTCACTGAGAGGGAGAGGAGGGTAAGAGAGAGTGACGGCCTCATGGCAGGGGGTGTGGAGTGTGTGTGTGTTTGTGTGTGTGTGTGTGCAGGCAGGCAGGCCCCAAAAACTTTCGCGCTGTTTGTATAATCAAAATGCATTTATTTGATTAATACGCCGCCATCTTTCTCTCGCCTTTCCCCCCCGCCAACATTTGCCCCAAAAATATTTGGAAAAGCTTCTGTTGATTTTATTTTGGGGGAATTTGGAATTTTCCTTTGTTTTCCCATTGACTTTTACACTTTTGCCCCAGCGTGCTGGTGGGGCAGTCAGTCCCCAGCTCCCCCTAGTTTGTCCCTTGGGACATTGTTTTAGTCCCCAGCGTATGTGCGGAGTGATTATGTTGTACTAATATTTGTTAGAGTCTGGCAATCGGCAAACATTGAAGTGGGGCTGGGCTGCTGGGCTGGGCCTTGATTTTGAGCGGCGCAGGCTTTAAGGGCTGCCGTTGCGTTGCGTTGCACAATTAAGTGGCAAAACTAATTCATTAAGCTGCAGAGCGAAAAGCAGAGTGCAATTGACAAATTATGGCAAGCCGAAAACAAAACTAAACACAAGATTTCCATATGAATTTATCATTTGGCCTTTGTCTCTGGCCGACCGACCGACTTCTGTTTGTGATTGAGTGCATTCCATTCAGGTCCATCATCTAATGAAATGCATATGCCAATCAACATAATTATAACTTTCCATGGTGTGTGTGTATGTGCAGAGAGAGAGGGGCTACGCCACGCCACGCCCCAAAATTGAAAGGGCAACACAAAAACCCGGCAACAGGCAGCAGTCGGCAGTCGGCCCGTTAGAGGGGGCTGGCTGTGTGTGGAAAAGGATGTGGCAAAGCCACAAAACAGAAACCATCATATGTATCGAAGCAAATCGAAGCATCTGGCAGCGAGCAGCCAGCAGCTAGCAGCAGGATGTGTTTAAGGGTGATCGAATGCGAGGATACCCAATAGCTGCTTAGCTCCAGCCAAAAGCTCCGGTCCGACACTGCAGCGGATACGTATGTGCATAATTTATGTCCTTGCAACTTCCTTGTGCAACTATATACTCCCTGGGTACTCCTTCTGCCTGCCTGCCTGCCTGCTGTATGTATAATAATGTTAACCCAAGCCCGGCGCACACAAAGAACTTGTCCAGAGGATGGCAATGTCGGGGGCTGTGGCTGTGTCGATGCCTGGGACTAGGCCTGGGCATGGTAAGTCCTCGATGACTATAACTATGACTAGTATCAATATTGACAGCCATTAATATGGCATTTTATGCAATAAGCAGAGACATTGATGAGGCGGAGTCCGGGCCTGGGATTGGTAGTGGGTCTCGCCTGAGACTGAGTCTCTGTCTCTGTCTCATGGCAATGCTGCATTTTTAATGAGCTGCACAGTGCAGGAGGCGCCTCGCCTCGCCTCGCCTCACCTCGGCCGGGGCTTCCGCTGTTGCCTGATGACTGGGGAAATGCTTCCGTCTGCGATTGGAAATTTGCCAATCCCCTACCGTGTGTGGGAGAGGCAGGCACTTTGAGGGGTGGCAGGTTAATTTCAGAGGTAGCTGGGGGCAGCTCAGGGGGTAAATGCGGAAGGCAAAACGGAAGCGCGCAGACACACACGGCAACTGGAGACCTCGTCTTGGATGCCGCCTCGTATCTCCTTCGTATTAATGGCCGGAGGACATGTCAAAGGAACTGATGACGCGCCGCGTCTCCAGACCGACGTGCACTGACTGCAATCATGGCAACCAAACCTCATGATGATGATGATGATGATGAGGCCCCCTGGTATGGATGGATGGATGGATGGATGGATGGTTGGATGCTTTCTTTAGATACTTATTGTCCGTGCCACAAGTCCAATACGGCCCCTGCACTGCCCTCTGCCTAACCTGCATATCAATCAGGCAATCAAAAAACAAAAAAAAAAGAAGAAAAATCACCATCTGCCACGCAGATTGCTCAAAGGATGAAACCAAAATAATTGCACAGAATTTATCGCCAGATTTACCTTTCGGATTTGGCCAGCCGCTCGAGCGAGTTTTCCCCCTTTTTTCCCCCGTTTTCCCCCGTTTTCGTTTTCCTAAATTAATAATTTTGATTGCCTTTTGGGATGCTGCAGAGCAACTTTGCTCCGCTATGCGACAGTTGTTTAAGTTTTGCCTGCGAAAAATTATCATCATTAGTGCCTGAACTTTGAACTTTGCCTTGCTTTGCCTGCCTCGACGTCACTTTGACAATCAGGGGACAAGCAGGGCGGCGCTTTCTTTCTGGCTGCGCCACTGCAAAAGTTTCCACTAGGCAAATAAATTGTCTCATAAGCTAATGAATATCCCGAAGGCTGGTAATTAAGTTGCAAATGCAGCAGAACAGACTGGGAGCAGGAAGGGGGTGTGGGGTAGTGTCAGCTGAATTAGCCAAGATTATGTTGCAAATAAATTCCATTTTCGGGTTTGTTGCCAATTAAGGGAAAAACCATTCTTATTGTTTTCTAAACATTTTCACCGCACATCACATCAGAATTTGCCAGGGCACAAAATGGTTTTTCGGGTAATATTTTGAGCCTTGCAGAGTCATCAAGGACACTCCTCCACTTGATGCCACTCCACACGACTCCACTCCACTCCACTCCACTCCAATTCAGTCGACTCGAATCGACTCCCACTCGAAGCGTATATATTTTGGCTGGCCACAAAAATTGATTGCCGTAAATGCCAAAAAGCAAGGCAAATAATATTTGTGCTATTTTTGTGCTGTGGCTTTTTGCGGCAAACGATGGCACAGCACTCAGCACACAGCACACAGCATTTATAAATAAATTACAGTGAGAGCGAGAGCGAGAGGATTGGTTTTGGCCAAAAAATCAAAATATCAATTGCTGGGTGCGTTCTCCATTTACCAGGCGACTACACAGACTCCTCTGCCTGCTGCCTGCTGCCTGCTGCCTCCAGCCAACTGTCTCTTCGACTTGGCAGATTGTTTGTTCAGGGCTCCACAATTAATTACCACTAAAAAGTGCGACCAGCTGTAAGAACGAGTGAGAGAGAGGGTGGGTGGGCAGAGGGAGGCAGTAACAGAGACAAAAACAGACTAATTACATTAGCTGCCACAACGATTTGTCTCCCAACTCAATCAAAATGTTGCAGGCTGTGGCTGTAGTGCAGCCTGCAGACGCTGGCTCTCGCTGGAATGCTGCAGAATGTTCCTCAGAATGTTGCCCACAAATCACCAGGAAACATGATGACAGCATACGGTAGGTAGCAGGTAGGACTGCGCCAACAGGCATGCAACAGTTCTTGAGAAAGCCAGAAGTGGATGGCAAAAGGAACTCGAGTGGGGGTGTAGTGGTAGTGGGAGTGGAAGAGGAGAGAAGCTCGCTGTTTATGCATTTCCCTAATGAAATGCAAAGAAAACAAAGCGAGCTACAGCCTAGCAATATCCACAGCCCCACAGCTCAGGTTATCCGCCCTGCGATAGGCAATGTAAATTTCAGGAGAGCTCTTCTTGTTGTTGCTGCTGCTGCTGCTGCTGTTGCTGCTGCTGCTGTGGCTGAGTGGTAATTAAATATTTATTTTCTCCATAGCTATTTGCTTTGATTAATAGCTAACAAAAATGGGGGAAAATGGGAAAAGAAAAGGCTTTTGCTGTGTGGGAGGGGCATACACTTTACAATGGATACCCTAGCAGATAATAAATAGAATAAATTGAATTGATTACAGACAGCCTCCCAAAAAAACTAAAACTACGAGTGGAGACCTCCCCCGATCAAGCTTTAATATTTGATGGGTCTCCTTTATGGCATTGCAAATATAGCTCATCAAAATCAAAGCACCATCTGGCAGGGTATTCGAACACAGGAGGAGGCGCCGCCTCTTCCATGTTCTTGCAATGTTTTTAATATTTTAAAATTTCTCAATTGTTTGCCTACCCCGGCACCCCCCCCCCCCCTACTCCCCCGCACGTTTTTGTTTAAATTGAGTTACGAGTATTTTTGTTGGGTTTTTTTTTTCGTTGTTCAGTAAATCAAACACTTGGAGCGCAAAATCCGGGCTCTTTGACTGGGCTGCCATTTAATTTCGATAATGTGTTTCGGATTTGACAATTGATTTGGGTAAGCGGATGGGGGCTTAAGGGCAGTCTTTTTGGGATATTAATAGAGTAACTTGGAGCTAAGACCCTGGCCTGGCCTGGCCTGGTCCTGGTCCTGGACACGTCGTTGAGTCACTAAGCCATGAGTCACTGTGTGACCAGGACTGTGCAGCCCTGGGGGTGTGAAGCAACCGCATTCACTTTGCATATTGACACGTCTCCTAGTCTCCTAGTCTCCTAGTGTGCATGAGTAATTTATTATTTGCCATGGCATACTTCAAGGCGCCAAACTGGGCAGCCGAGGGGCAGCACAGCACAGCGCAGCAGACCGAGCAAATGTTGCACGCAAAAAAGCTGTGTCAGCGAGACACATTACCACATCATTACGAGACCACAGGGACCACCGACTTGACCTCCCTGCCGTGGGGCAGGGCACATACTCGCATCCAGCTGGTGCTGCTGCAGAAGATAGACTTCTGCTCGATCTCCGTCTGCTGCTTGCAATTCGAATGCGTAAAACCAAAGAGCGCACAAAGTGGCACCACACAACAGCGGAAATGCGCAGGAGGCAGCTGCAGGATTGCAGTTGCACCAAAAGCGTCATTAAGTCAATTTGTGAGGGGCAAAGCGGCGAACTTAATGTGCAGTCGGGGACCCTGGGACGCTGGGACGCTGGGGAGTTGAAGGCCCCAAGACTAGGAACAGAAATGGGATTGGTCCTCGGCAGGAGGAGCCCCCAAACATGGACACACCAATTATCCAGAAATGCCAACACACACAAAAGCAAAAACCCAGGCATAAGAATGCTTGGGGTTTGGGTTTGGGTTGGGGTTGGGGTTTGGGCACCCCAAAAATGAGATTGCGCTTTTGCGGTTGTGTTAAGTTGATTTCCGGCACGTCTGGGGCCCCCCTGTCGTTGCCACCAGAGCCCTCGCCTTCGCCCTCGCTCTCGCCCTGTGTCCCTGTCCATTCGCTCACACATTACTCCACATGGGGGCTTCCAAGATGTCCTACGCCAATTATGCGTAGGGGCCCATCCTCTGCTCGTCAGCGGTATATTCATAAACAGACGATGTCCCTTGTTGTCAATGCCATCATCATTATCATTATCATCATCATCATCGTCGTCGTCGTCATCAGGCGCCATGGTGATCATCGTTCTCAGGCAGCCTTGCAGTATGTAAGTGTTGGCCACGCCCCCTGCGTCAGTGGCTGTCAAAAGCACCAGCAGCAGCACCAGCACCAGCAGCAGCAGCCTGAGCCTGGGCCTGGGCCCCCCACTCATTTACTTCTCTGCCTCCCACCCCACAAGGTGTGCTGTAAATTATACGCTTTTGCGTTTAGCCTCCGCCACAGACCTGTAGTCTGTAGTCTGGGTCCCAGCCTCGGAGGAATCCCCAACTGCATCCCGCTCCCCGCATCCCTACTGCCCGGACAGTCCGGCAGTTTGATGTTTTGCGGTTGTGTTGACGTTGTCCCTTGGACTGGGGGAGAATGAGCAGCCAAGTGAAGGACTGGGTCCAGTCCAGTACAGTCCACCCAGTGCTGGGTGGCCTTTAATATTTAAAGTGCGCTTTTAGGCCACAGTTTGTCCATTATCCTGCCGACATGTTATTGTCCTTTCGCTTTGCGGTGCCAGTGCTGGTGCCAATTAATGAGATTTCCACAATGCGAGCATCCCATCGCATCGCATCGACCGGAGCGGTGCGGAGTGGAGCGGAGCGCATGGGTGCTGGCTTTGTTTCAAGTAGACAAGAAGGTTGCCCTGGAGGTTGCACACAAAGGTGGAAGGGCCCTCCAAAGGGTGCTTCATGCGGCAGTTAAGAGCTTGAACAACAGCTAACTTTTGCAGCTTCAAGGGTTCCGTTTCCGCAAGTCAAGGTGGTCCAACACAGAGAGCCACGTGTATCATCATGATGATGATGATGAGTAGTAATCGCCGTTAAGTTGTGCCTTTGTGCACCTTGGAGTAGCCCTGCTCTCAGGTTCGGCAGCTTCATTTGAATAATCCACTTTGATTGTCACTCGAAAACCCCTTCAACAGTTCGTAGCTCGTAGCGGAAATGTTTCTTTAGCTGGAAAAACTTTCACACTTCCCATCCGCAGACCATCGAGCCATAGCCACAGCCTCAGCCACAGCCTCAGCCTTAGCCTTAGCCTTAATTTTCATTAGCTGCAGTTTCACTGGGTGCGAACTGTGTGCCTGCAGCCAGTGGCAGAACAGACCGCAAAGTTGGGGCAGGGCAGGGCAGGGCAGCCACTGTGTCATTTGTTATGTTATTGGTTTGGACATTTTGCAAATTGCTTATTTAGCAGTGCGTAAAATCCACAGCGTCCTCCGGCTGCTCCTTCTGCTTCCTGCTCCTTCGATTCTACTCTCGTCCTGCGGTTCTCTTTTTGCGAGGCCACACACACACACACACATATGTCAAGGAGCAGCAGGAGCAGTAGTAGATTCTGCTATTTCTCGCCTGTGCTTCCTGGACTCTCTCGGTGTCTGTGTGTCTGTGTCTCTGTCCGTGTGGCCCAAAGAATTTTTTGCTCTCCTTTCCTCCACTGTTGTAGCCTCAAAGTTAACAACGTGTCAAGCAAGCGGTTAGTTCTCTTCTGCTGTCCTGTCCATCCTTCTTCTAACCCATTCGCTTCTTACCATACGCAGCAGCAGCAGCAGCCGTATAGGGAAATTGCCTGGGGTGCCATGGGTGCCAGGGTCGTGGCAGGTGTCACCCCTCCAGTTATTTGGCCAAGTGTTCGAAAACTGTCAATGCAGAACAATTTTTCCCCCACTTGCACATGAGTATTTTTTGTTCCGACTTTTGGCCAGGGATCCCGAGTTCGATCCCTGTGCCTCTGTCCCTCTGTCCCCCTGTCCCCCTGTCCGACACTCATCTGTACCCGTAATAATATTTGCTTTTCATTCTGTGTCATTTACTCCACTTCCTGGCATCCTGCTCCTCCTCCTCCTCCTCCTCTGCCTGGTTCTTGGTGTTTTTGTATGGCGCCTAATTGCCTGCTACATTTTGTGGCACTTGGGTGCGGCAGGCAGTGCCCCAAAAGGGGCACACAAATGTACGAGTGTCATAAACTTTTTTTATGACTAATATTTTGTGAGGCTTTTTAATTAGGCGAAATGGTCGTTAAAATTGATTTATTGCCTGTGATGGGAATTGTTAATTGGCTACCGAAACGGCTATAAAATTGAATAAAACTCACTTGAATTGATCGATAAAAGGAAGGACCTGCCATACCCACACCTACCCATAAATGTTTTTGCCTAATTAATAATTTTTTCTCTTTTCTACTCTTCTCATTTCAGCTCCCAGCCCAAAGGCTAACTTTTAGTATAAACTTAATATTAATAATAATAATTTGTATGCATCAAAGTCTGTATTATGTGCCATGGAAGACAAAACAAAACAAAACGTTAAATTGTATGATAAATCCAACACTATATAAAATATTTGAAGTGATTTTTAAAAGGCACAAAAGCTGCAAGAACTCGAAATATATTTCTGGTTTCATCGAAATAATTGAAAGAGTTTGAGTCGGTTTTTTTTTTTCTTATTCTACATTATGGCTGGTACGTTCCACACATTGCTGAACAGCAGAAATACTCGTAGTATCAGTGGAACCATGGAGTAGGCAAGTGAAACTTCTGGCCACTTTATCGCTTTAAGTGACTGAGGAAAAGTTGGCAAAGTTTCAGTGCTCCAAAAGGCCACTAAACGGTTCAACTTTATGCAAATTGTGAAGCTCCCAGGAATCTTCAACCAAAAACGATTAAACGTCATTAGCATTATAATAGCATTTTACTTTCGCGACTTTGACTCCACAAGTCTGGGTCCATCCATCCATCCCCGACGACTCACCTTTCTGTCTGCTTCAGTGCTGGCTCTGAGCCTCGTCCTCCTCCTGTCTCTCCTTCGTTGCCCTGCTGGCAGGGCTGGATGGATGGGCAGTCATTCATCTTCATAGTGAAAACAACAGCACCAACAACGATGTGATTACAGTTCCGTTTTAATTGTAATTAAAGCGATTATTACGGCGGACTTTTTGTCTCCTTTGTGCCCGTGCCCGCGCCGTTGTCGGTGCCCTTGCCCTCCATTCCAGTGCCGCGTCCTCGTCTGCCCTCTTAAACTCTGCGCTTAATCTTTGCTACTTGCGACCTGCAGCTTATTTCAATTTGAAAAATTCCCCAGCCCCTCCACGCCAACTTTTTCTATTTTCCTGCACGACTTTGGCCGTGGCGAGCCTAAGGCCTTTTCCTGATGCGCAATGTGCGGTGGGGTGAGGCCAAAAACTGTTTCTTGTTGCATAGAAAAGTTTTCCTTACTTATTTGTCGGTTGTGGCTAGGCGTGGCCGGGAGAAGGCTGTGCACGGAGGCATGGAGTGACGTGTAGCTTGTGCCACCACCTGGCCAAAAAAGTTGCTGTTGCTGTTGTCTTGATGCCACCCGTCAGCTGAATTCTGCAGGCAGGTGAGGCAGTGAGGCAGGCTCGTGTAGTATATTGCACTAGAGTCTAGGCGTTCGACTTAACTTACGGACTTAACTTCCATAGAATTGAAATTGATTTGGCCTCTGGCTGCAGCAGCCAACCTGAGACGGAGGCGCTCCTTGGAGAGGAGTGTGAAGTAAGAAACGAAATAAAATTAAGTTCGCACAGCAAACTGCCAGATAAAGTTGTGTTCGGCTCATAATTCCAGGCGGGGTACCCATAGGGTTCAAGGGCCTTAAAATGTAGCAAACAAATGCAGGATATATTATATGTTACATTATTGGGTATATCGTACCCACAGGCTCCTCTGTGTCCGCAACACATCTTGAGATTCGTGCTGCTACTATTAACCTCGTTTTGCCCACTGCAAAGGAGTATTTGTATGTTGCACTTAATTTACACTTTTCGCATCTCCCTCCGCCCCATTTCTAAGCTTCCTTTTAAATGAAAAGTAACTGCAGCAATGGCTAAAACATTAGCAACAACTACAAGCCCCCACCCACCCACACGCACACCCCACACTCACACCCCACAACCGAAAACAACATTTGGTTGGTTGGTGTAATTTTTATTACGATATTTCCCAACTGAGTTAAGTAGCGAAACTCACTTCGCATAATTACACAAAGTGTGTGGGGTTCGGCGGGGTGGGTGGGTCGTGTTGGCTGTAGTTTGGGCTAAAAAACTGTAATTAGTGGTGCGAAATTAGTGTTATCCTGGCAGGGGCCGTGGCAGCAGCAGGAGCAGGAGCAGAAGCAGGAGAGAGATGAAAGCAACTCGAAAGTGAAATGAAACACACACACACACACCACCCATACACGCTGATAGTTTTTTAATGTGTGTGCACATTCGTTGATGTATGAATGCAGACACATCTGCAGTTGATCCCCCTCCCCCTCCCATCCACCCACACACACTTCCATCCACCATCCACCACCCACCCACTCATCCTTCTACCCATAGCAGTGGAGGGGCGCTCGAAGGCTAAGCCCATGCGCCTCTCTGGGCTCAAAGCGCTATTTGGGTCAACTACGGGCGTCTACACACGTTAATGGGGGACGAGGATGAGGAGGTGCAGCAGGTGCAGTGCAGTGCAGAAAGGTGTGGAAACTTTTTATGAACTGTTAAATTTCCAATTAGCGCTGATTGTTTCGATTTAACGGAAAAAAAACAAACAAACAGACAAACAAACAGTGCGTGTGAAAAGGTGAACTACCTCGTGGATATTTTGCACGCTGCCACGTTATGAAAAGAATGACTGGCATTTGAAAATCAATACCAGTCGGAGATGGATGAACGGCTGGAGCTACAAACGAACAGATACATAGATACAAACTGTTCCAGTTGCAGTTGCAGTTACAGTTCCTCCCTGGTGGCACAATTTATAATATCCCCGGATTGATATTGCTGCTGGGTCGGTTGCGGAGACGATTGAATTCCCAACCAAGCAGCAACAGCAGCTTACGAGTGTGGAGGGGCATTATTTAAATCAATAATTAATGCACTTGACTACCCTCCGCAGCAGAGTCTGATCCGCTCGCTGCACTGCGAACTCTGCTTCCTGCAAAAGGCCTTCCACGTTGCTGCTGCTGCCGCTGCTGTTGCTGTTGTTGCATGTGTCAACGCCCATGTCCAAAGGAGAAGCCTCGTCTGGGGTCTCCTTTTGGCGGCACTAGCATTTTTATGACCATAATGTGCAAGCACACGTACGAGTCTCTCCGCCAGCCACCCCAGCCACCCGCCCATCCATTGAGCTTCAACTGACACTCCAACTGACTCCCATGCTCCCCAGTTGCCCATCTGCCACCTCGCCGTCTCGCCGTCCCATTGTGCGGATATCGCATTGCTGCCGTTGCAGGCGGTCCAGGGCCTGGGCCTGGTCCTGTGGCTGTGGCGGATGCTCCGCCTTCATCGCTTCTCCCAACAGATGAATGTCTGTTAAATATTTATGAGTATCGAAATGTTGCCTCAATGCATATTATAACAAATGAAACGTCAATTTCATGCGAAAAATGCAAACAGCATTGACATCCCAAGCACAAGGAGCAAAAGGAGCAGCAAAAGGAGTCCGGCTTGGTGGGTAGAGTTGGTCCATGGCTTGGCACGTGACAGGCCTATGGCCATGGGCTAAGTGGGTGTACAGCCCCCACCCGCACCCATGTTCTTTATCGTCTTTACCGTCTTTCCCGTCTTTCGTCTAGCTTCGTCCGTCGTCTGTCGTCTTTGTCGGATGTTGGATGTCGTCTGTCCGGATGTCCTTTGGTTTCTGCACAATTTCATTATGGAATTTCATGCTCTCCGTCTCCGTGCCCGTACCCAAAGGATTGCCTGCTGCAGCTACACATTCAATTTGGGCAGCTCAAAGTGGAGCTTTCTTCTGCTCCACATAAAACATACATTTCATGGACTTTTGCCATAGAATTTATAGTATAGATAATGGGCTATGACAGACATTTCCCCTCCACCCCCCCGCCGCACAAAGAGCTTCTCGGGCTCTCGAGCTGATGGGAAATTCATTCGTAAATGTTGGAAAATATATCTCAGAATTGTGTGCTGAAATAATATTATGTTGTCCAGGCTGCGAGCTTCAATCAAGTGAAAACTCATTAGCAAAAGCGACTCCCCAAGAAATCTAAAGCGAACTCTCGCCCCCGCCATGTCACTCCCCCCAAGAAGAGCAGCGCAAAAAATGGGTCAAAAAATATTATTACAAGTGTGCGGAGGGAAGCGATGCGAAGAGGATACGGAGCCCACGGGGGCTGGGGTGGTGTGGAGCTGAGTGATAGGCATTTTCCCCGGCCCAGCAGCTAATTTGCGAAGGATCAGAGCAATAAAAATTGTTTATTGAAATGTGAAAAAGTGAAAAGTGGCGGGCAAAAAAAAAATAATTTCAAATACGCTCCAAGTATTTCCTTTTGCTTTGCACTTTGCGCTTTTCCATTTTCATCGTTTTCTAGCTGTTATTTGTGCGATTGCAAAAGCCTGAATTTAATTAAAAATGCAGCGGGTTCTTCCTATCGCTAGCACCCCCTCTCCCTACCCTTCCTCCTTCTAGCGCTGTGCACTTGAACTGCCAACGCAGGACAGACGCAATAATTTTCATGTTAGATGCCAAAAGCGTGCAAAATGCTTTTCAACTATCAGACAATAGGCCCCCCGAAAGGACAATGGGAGGACATGCAGGCAGAGGTGTGGACTGTGGAGGCAAGAGGGCAGAAAGTTGAGCCATCACCGACATAAACTTTATTCAAAAGACCAAATAAGGGGAGCGAGAGCGGTGCCTAGGGCAAGGTGTTGTCGAAGAGGGACAGGAACAAAATCAACAATAAGGGAAGACAAGAGCTAAGCGTCGCCCTACCGAATCATTGGATACCCTTTGCCGGTCTATGGCCTCGGATTAATCAAGCAAACCAAAGAGCCCAGAGTCAATAAGGAAAACCCCTTTCCAGATGTTCGGGGAAGATGTGAAGCTGCCAGTTTTCTGTTAGGAAAGAGTCTAAAAGTGTTTGTTATATTTAATGCTGCGAATTTGTGTATAGGGAATGCATAATCCTCTGTACTCTGTACTCCCTTTTGTATGGCCCAAATGCCTGCTCAAAGGCATTACACCCTGCCTCGCTGCCAGGGTACAGCAATTTATAAATAATAATTTCTCCTCACCTGCTCCATTCTCGCAGGCCCAGCCACGGCCCTTCTGTCGTCACCAGGCAGGAAACAGACAGAGAAAGAGGGAGAGAGAGAGGGAGAGATGGCGGGGAGGAGGATACAGGAAGAACACCTTTGTCTAGCCTACAAGAATAACAATAAGCTCAGCAACAGCAGCAGCAATAGCAACAACAGCAAAGTGCGCAGCCCTGTGGGTGGGAGAAGGAGCGAGAGAGTGTCAAAGAGAGAGAGAGAGAGAGAGACAGAGAGCGACAGAGGTTGAATATTGTTTGAGAAATGCCAGCGGCAGTTGATGAAGTGCAGACAGCAGACCGTTACTAGGCA